TAAAATAATTAAATAGGTTTTATATATTTTCTTTAATGATATATGTTTAATGTTGTACCGATTTCACAGATTTTCTACGTTTTTCCTGGTTCTCCCATGTTTTATCCCGTTTTTTCATATTTGATGACAAAACACTTGAGAAAATCGAAAAATGACCTCTCTAAAGCACTTCTCTAGCGAAAGTTCCTTTTAGAGACATTCGTTTTTGGATTGAATTTATATGATATAAATAAATAATAATTATTACAGATATTTTTCATATCAATGTTAAAATACAAAAAAAATTCAAATAATATTAAAGTATTAATGTAAACAAATTCGATTATTTAGTGCAATATCTTAAGCAATATTATCTTTATTTCTAAATAACATACAATTGTTACTGTAGTCATAAATTGTGTACTACCTATATTAATATAGTGTAGAAAATTCAAAACGGGACGGAACTCGTGTAACTAAATAAATTACACGGGACGGAACTAGTATAACCTTAAATTTAAATTTTATATTCTGGACGGACGCAGCCCCTCTCTAAATCAGTGCATGTAGGTACTCGTTTCTATTTTCTGAAGTTCAAATGTAATTATAACGCATTGAATATAACATAATTTTCTGTTTTCCGGTAATAGTTGTCAGATCCGACAGAAAATATGAAGAATATTGTAGTACTTATAAACATAATATAAGTACTTCCATTTTTATGACTTATTGTTTCAATTTTATATCATAATCTAATTCCGAGTGAAGTGAAAAAGCCTATGTTTTACAAAGATGCTTATTTTTTTAATTTTAAATTTTTTTTTATGTGAATACTTTTACTTTTTTATCAGAAAGCTTACACCGATGTATATGAAAAAAAATTTTCTAGGTGTGGTACCTTAGGGAAGTAATTTTTCGATTTTCTCAGGCGTTTTCTCAACAAATGGGAAAAACGGGAAAACCAGTACAACATTAAACAAATATCATTAAACATATAATACCTTTTTGACAATTTAACAATAATATGACATATATGTTGACAAAGCATCACTATCCACCTAACTTTCGCTCAGAATAGTTTTTTCATTACTACTGGTTGCTTACAGGTATACATTAAATTACTTTTAACAGTGGCTGCACCCGTCCCCATTATCTTAGGACAGTTTTTTGCTTTCTAATTCCATATTCAGTTTTGATTTTTTATTTCTTTTTTTAGCTCGAATCCAAAAAGAAATATAATATAAAGATCCAGCGGGCTCCGGCGCTAAACTCGAAAATGGGTCAACTTTGTGTTTATTTATATAATATAAATACTTTAATTGGCAAAAACATAATTACCTAACATATACAAATATTTAATAACAATATTATGTAAATACATTAAATACGATGAAAAATGCAATAATTAGATTTGGTAAACAATAAAAAAGAATAATCAAAACGTTGTACAAATTCCCAAATTACTCTCTCTTCCCCCTCTTGGTAAAATCAATGCCAAAATCTATTGATTTAATGCTACGCTCAAAACCTAAAAATTAATATAAACGAAGATAATGCCGATTGTGTGTACAGTGTACAGTGTATACATGATCCTAGCATACCTGACGGTTTTTCTATTATTTTGTCAAAATTCAATTTTCGCTGAATATCGAATATAGATTATCAAAATGGTGGAAGACATCAGCAGTTTCTTCTTTATTTAATTTATTTTTTCGATATAGCTGCTTCGTATAACTGATGCAATTGGAATATTCAGATATATTAAACAAACATTTTTTCTAGGAAAAACACTCTGTATCAGATTGTTATTATAAAATTAATAACTCTATCACTTAACTCAAAATTTCCAACTGGTTTCATTTAGGTATTTACGATGATTAGGCCCTGAAATAAAATATTAAAGAAATTACTCGTATGTTTATTTGTATATTGTATTTCGTATTTTCGGTATGTTAATTTTAACCCAGAAATATATTGGCAATTTATTAAATATGTAGCTAAACCAGTTCTTGCAAAATTAAAACTTTTAATATACCATAGAATATTATGAGGTGCCTCGATCTTACGGTTTCTTATACCAAGTAATAACTTACAAAATTACGGTATTATAAATATTTAATTTTGATTTGATTAGGAAAATAGTTATAATATTGATATTTGAACAAAATATAGGGTTCTGGAATCTTTATTGAGCCACTTATAAATACTTAAGAATAATGAACCAGAATCCTCTAAGTCAGCCGCTGAATGACTCCAATTCGGAATGGAATATTTGTTAAATTTTAATATACATTAATGAGGACTCTGGCACTTCAAAACTTGATAATAAATACTAAAATAGAAACTAAATATCATAAAATATCCATTCAATATATTTAATATTTAAGAATTAATATTATTTAAAATATATAAAAAAAGGAAGACACTAGGAACAGGTGCGGTTACTGTTGTAAGTAGTTGAACTTTTAATCAACCTCCTATTAAATTTTCGAGAAATTTTGTTGGATCTAACATTTTTATCCACCAGATAAGAAGTAGCTACTAAATAAAAAGAAGCACAAAACTCACAAAATTTAAATGTCTATAAATAACTCAAAAATGTATTCAGTTTGAAAATTGTATCGTGTCTAAAAAGAGTAAACATAAGTTTTCTGTACAATTTTAAATTCTATTTGAAAATGTTTAACTAAATTACTATAAAAAACAAAATTGAAAATAATAGAATAATAGAATTGTTTTGAGAAATTATCCCGTTTTTCTTACGCTTTATATACGTTTTCCCCAGATATTATGAAAAACCTCTTGAAAAATAAAAAATGACCTCTCAAAAGTACTATCTTGACAATATTTCATTTCAGAAATTATGCCCGCTGCACGTCTATATCGGATCAAGATTTCTGGTAAAATTTTAGTATACAAAAAAAAAAAATCAAAAAATAAACATCTTTTTAAAACCAATACATTCTTCACTACACTCAGAATCTAAACGAACTAAGAACTTAACAAAACCGCAATATTTTGAATTTCTCATAATAGTTTTTAATAAGCTAATAAAATTCAAACGATTTTCCTGCGAATGTAAAACAAATAAAATTTCCGACCACTCGGCAATTTTTGTCTAATTGCCGACTTCAAATTAACTTTTTTTGTATGGGGGAAGGGGGATTTATACTGGCTCTAATTACATAATAATGATAATAGACCTAATAGAATCTAATAATCCAATCAATAACAATATCATGGTCATAAATCGTGATGAAAATTTAAACTATGTCATTTGAAAACATTTGAAAACTATATTAAGTTCAATAATTTGGAATCAAAATTATTGTTGGTATACGTTAGTATGTCTATTATCATATTACCTAATGTAACTTTTTCAGCCATACGTGTTTCTTTGGGCGGTCGGGAATTCGGCCACATTTTATCTACTTGCTTCGTAAATAATATTTGTGTACATTTCATTATTCGGATATTGGGCCACAAATATTATAAAAAAAATACCTGATACTGGGGATAGAAGTGACTACTGTTGTAAATGAGAAGTTAGGAAGGTGGGATATATAAGGTTATTTTATTTATATTTGTAAGTAACGATAAACCATTGCTTGACGAAAGACGATTCCGAGCACTGTTTATAGTTGTGTAAAGATGTTTATTTTTTTTTTACTCCGATTTTGGAGTGTAGAATTTTTTCTGAAAGGAAATCAGATTAGAGAGATATTTTAAGAAAATTATTTTTTTTACTTTCTCAGGAGTTTTATAAACGAAAATGAAAAACCGAAAAAAACATCCGGTCAGGATAAACAGGAAAATATATGAAATATATAAGTAAAATATTACGATATTTTTATTCTGTGGACAACTTTTCTATCATCAATTTTGCTCAGATTTTTAATAATAGTAATTTTTCTAAAAGGAAATCTGACTGGAGAGGTACTGTACATAAGTCAATTTTTGATTTTCCCAAGAGTTCTCTTAATTAATCGGAAAAACCGAAAAAAAAAACATAGGAAAACCGTAACAAAAACGAAAAATAAGTATAATATTAAACAAATATTATTAAAGAAAATATATATAGCCTATGTAAGTATTTTACCACAATATGACATGTATATTGTTGAAAAAGCAACTGCACTATCAATTCCTCTCAGAGTAGCTTTTTCGTCTCTCTTTACAACATTGGCTGCACGTGCAAAGTTGTCCTGCATTTTTTTATATATAAATATATTTTTGTTTAGATGATGCTAGGCAAAAGCTATCATTTGTTGTCATATCAGTTATTTTTAAAATGGTAACTCTTCGGGTAGATATCCTCATTGAAAAGTTTTTCAAAACTTTCTGTTCATTTTTAGATTCTGTGTAAAGCGAAGAAACGTTGGTTTTACAAAGATTTTTTTTATCCGTGCGTAACTTTTCTTCCAAAAGACTTGCTCGGATTTTTACGTGTAGAACTTTTTTTGAAATTAAATCGGTGTGGGAAGGTACTTTAAAGGAGTCATTTTTTGATTATCCCAAGAGTTTTCCCAGCAAATCGGGATAATACATGGGAAAACGTAGGAAAATCGGAAAAATCAGCACAACATTAAACAAACTTGATTAAAGAAAATATATAAAGCGTATTTAATTTTTTTTACTATAAAATAACATATATATTGTTGAAAAACTATCACTAACAACTGAACTCCGCTCAGAATCGTTTTTCATAAGCAATGGTTTATCACTGATATACATTAAATTCCCGTCTATATCCTACCTTCTCAACTTCCTACCTATATTAGTGGCTTCATCCGTCCTCATTATCTTACATTTCTTTTTTCATTAACTTTCTAATGTTCGAATTTCCTAATATAATCATATCTATTATTTCTTGCTATTGTTAGGAAATGATTATAACATTTTAGTACTTAAACAATGATATAATTTTCTTATCAAACTATGAGTTATTATCATATTTTTCTAATTGTAAATATTTTATGACACAAATATAATGCACGTTTTTTGATGCCACCTTTATTGTCGTTTAAAAATCTCCAGTGTTCAGAATAATGGTGTTTAATGACTCTTGTACTCGTATAATATATAGATTATAGATGGAAAAAAAAAAATCATTTTTTAAATATTTTGTTTCAAACATTTTTTTTTATTGAGAGAGCTGACACAGGAGTGCCACGCCTCGCATGACCCAGTGTTCGGACGGCTTGTCGATCGGCATCGCCAACGAGATGACAAAGTTCGTCGAGTGCCCGGTGGTGGATAGCGTACCCTTTCGCTCAGACGTCTTGTACACCGGACACGTGTAAACATTCCCGAGCCGCAGATCAGCTTTCTTGATCGGCACCATGTGCACGAGCGGCATGACGTCGAACAGTTGTTTCGGTCGAGACTCCTTGATCGCAAACGCGTTCCCGCTCCACCGAGCCCCATCCAGGAACAATCCGTAAACGTACACTCCGTCTTCAGGCGGGGTATCGACTACAAACGTTCGCTTCATAATCTATGGGTCAGGTAGGTTATATTATACTGTTAAGGTTATTGTTGTGTAAATTAAAAACAAAAGAAAAAAACAAAATTCGCGAATATTGTATGATATAGCTGCCCCTCATAGCTTTGTCCGTGGATATAATATCCTATTTCAGACCTACAGCGATTATTCTGTAAAATTATGAACCTAACCGTGTATAGTTTAAGTTCAGTTACACATATTATTAGTATTATGTGAATAATTCAAACATAATGCATATAATATATTAAATAATTCACTGAGAAAATGATGCATACAGTATTATTATTATGATACCTTGTAATCAAATGTCAGCAGATCAATAGGTATTTTGTACTTTCTGGCAAAATTTTGCTGTGCTCCAGTCAAAAACGCTTGCGTGAAATAAAATCCGGACAGCCAAAATACATCCGGAGCGTCGTAAACATACCATTTCTAAATTGTGGTAAAATATATTATAAGCAAACAATGTATATGTATATTAATATAACAACTTTGAATCGCATTCATAAAACTGTAAGACATTTAGCTTCTGAGCAAAACGAGGAATGTATTATTTTACTGTGATGTGTAATTTTTTTCCTTTTTGTAAGCAATTTTTTACTATCAAACATTTTACACCGAAATAAAAAGAGACATTTTCTGTTAAATTTAGGATCTAGTTAATGTAATGATGATACCATTTTTTTATTTTCGTAGCAGTTTTCCTAATAACTGGAAAACCCCCAAAAATAATGTAAAAGAAACAAGATTAATTTCCGGCGTTAACGATTTCATTATTTAAAATTATTTTGATTTAATTTTTCTACCAGAAATCTTGCACTGAAATTCATTTGTATCACGATTTTTGAAAGAAAATATTGTTTAGTTAACTGCATAAGAAAAAAGTTCTTTGATTTCAGTTCATTCAATTATTCGGTAAACCCGGGAAAAACAGTAGGAAAGACGCGAAAATTTGCGTGCTCGCCAATTTTATTATTTTCGATTTTATTTTTTGACCATCGGTAAATGGATATCGATTAATCAATTAAAACTAATTGTAAAGACCAACATTAGTACCTATTAGTAGTTATCCATTTAAGTAAGTTCACTCATTATCTCGGAAAGTATTAACTTTTTCCGGAATTTGTTTTCTAGAAAATTTAATAAACAAGCTGCTCTACAATTTTATAATTTTATTATTTTTTTCCACCTCATTTTTGGGGGTAAAACCACTACCTACTATTGATTTTCAAATGGCAACTTATATTAAAACGTCCATAAATATAAAACTGTATTAAATTAAATCCAATATTTATAATAGCATATTTTAACAATTTAAAGCATAGCATTTTTAAAAAAATTGTGATTTTTGAGTTATTTATAGGAATTTAATTATTATTATTTGGTTTAATGTGGATGAAGTTGTTTAGTCGAAAAATAGGTTAAAAATTTAATATGAGAATTATTATAAGTTTAATTGGGTAATAAAAAATAAATCAAGTCTACTATAATATTGTTAGATTTAGAGCATAGCCAGGGATCTATAAGTTTTGCTATGATGTGTGTTTTAGATCCGTTGAAAAACCAACAAATTTACGGCATATGATTTTATTATTTTGAATTTTTACACATGATGTTTTCTACTAGAAATATTGGTCGAATAGAAAAATTACAAGAGTCGTTTTTTGTTGAATTATTTAAATTTAGTTACTCAAAAAAAAAAGTCGGTTTTTGATTTTCTCTGTATTTTTTTTTTTTAATAATTGAGCAAAACCGGAAAAAAAAATATAGAATAAAAGGAAAAATCTGTGAAAGTAATGCTTTAGTTATTTTATTTTTGTCGTAATTCAGTTGAAAATTTTGGGAATGAGTGTGACATTTTGTAGGCAGTATAAAAAAAAAATAATATTAAACAATGTAAAATCGATAACTCGAAATTTTTTTCGCCCCCAACCGATTCGAGTTATCGAGGTTCCACTGTATATTCTTCATTCCGCTCAGAATCTTAAACATAAGTCGTAAATATTTTTAAATAATGATAACCAGTGGTCCACCTATAATACGAAGTATGTCTGTCTTTTTTTCGATTTTAAAAAATTATTAAAAAAAAATGAAAAGGAAAATGAAAAACCTACTATCTTAGGTACTCACCAATTAAATGAAACGGTTATTTTTCCATTATATTGACCATTATTTCTGGTAGAGAAATTGAGCCGTAAAAATTTTAATTTATTTCAGTATTTCTCATTTATTATAAAAACCTTATAGAAAATCAAAAAATGCCTAAATAACCTACCCAATGCACCATCTAGATACAATTTCCTTACAGAAAAGATTACACTCGTTACTCCAGAGCAATATTTTTGCTAGAAAAGTTGTTCACAGATAGAAAAAAAAAAACACTCATCTTTTTAAAACCAATAGATCCCTCGCTACATTCCAAATCTAGGATCATAATATTCTGACAAACAAAATACAATAACGTAGTAATTAAAGTATATAATTTCAAATTAAATTTTAGTCCTGGATTTTAACTTTGTATTGAATGTTCATAAAAATTGCTTGACGAAATAATGAAAAATATAGTATGCATATGCTCGCGTTGGCAAAATCTTAAATAGAATCTTACTTGAAAGAAGTTCATTCTTTGTAGAAAATCTTTGATGTAACTTCCCAACGGTTTCAAAGAAGGATACGAATTTCTAGCCCAAGTAGACGGAAGTTTCCCCAGTATAATACTTTGGGAAAGCTCTTCCAGTTCATTCGATATCAGTATTAAACCTATAAAACGTTATAAAACATTAATTATGCGTGCAATGCAATTATATTTCAAATATTAAAAAATTTGATTCCGTATATAGAATCGGCTAAGCTTTATTTCGAAATCATTATTATTTTTTACCCCTACTGTATATACTAAAATAAGTGTATACTATTATTTTAGAAATTCTCCCTTTTTGAACACAGAGTTGAATAGACAGTAATTTTCTAAACATTTTGATATGTATAATATTAACATTAAATTTACCGTTTAAGTGTTATCAATTTATCATCTAAAAATAGATGTACAATTTATTACTCTTTCCAACTCCTCCGGTCTAAATATTAAACGATTATAACTCACAAATAGTAAATATGATATTAGTGTTATGCATATTAAAATATCTAGCAAAAATAATTCTCTATTCAAATCTGTATTCAAAACGGGGATTCCTGAAAAACAATAGTATATAGAGTAGGGGAAAAAATTAAAAACGGTTTTAAATTAAATCTCAACCGATTCCATATCAAATTCTCTTAAAATCCTCAGAAATAATTGCTGGTTTCTGATAAAAAAAAAAGTATTTTTGTATGCTAAAGGTAGTACGCTTATAATGCATTTAGTATGCATATTGCATATAAACATATAAATACCTAATATTATTGTTATAAAAACGTGAATAATCAATAAAATGTTATTCGCATTTCACGTTATTTTTACATTTTTAACTTATTTACCTTTCATAGCTTTTTGAATATTAATCAGACTCGAACTGATGGAGTTCAATAGGTTGTTGAACCGCCCCATTTCTTGGACCAAAACTGTGTTCATAGACTGATTGTAACTGGTAGGGTATCTTTCTAATGCGAGTACCGTATCAAAAGGAGGTGGAAGTTTGTTGAGAACATCAAGAGCAAACATTATTACCAGATTTTCCGACGACACTCCTTCCCCTTCATTTGAACTTTCCATGCTCTATAATTATATAGACCATAATAATACACAGTGTATCCCACAAAGATATACAAAGATAATAAAGATAATCAAATTCTGTTTTATTATTTTTTTTTTTTTTTTATTATATTACTCCCAGGCATAAGGATTACAAATATTTATAGAAAAATTATAGATTTGATAAAACTGGTAATAATAAATATATAAAAGCGTACACATATCCGGCATTGTGACATCTCGTGATTATATAATAATATTATTATATTAATTTTATTAATTCTATTAATTTTTGTTTTGTAAAAAACTTAAAAAAATAACTTTTATTTTATTGATTTTGAAAAATTTGAAGATAGCCGTTTTATAGACTTTATTATTCGAAAAATATTGACATATTACTTTTTATTTTCATTAAATTCGTGATTTTTAAAGTACAGAGAAAAAAGTCAATTACCTACAATTATAATCAATTTTTGATATTTGACCGCTGTATAATTATAGTTAGTTTTCTCGGAACGTTAAACAATTATTAAAAACCATGAATTTAATGAAAATAAAAAGTTAAGATGTAAACATTTTTATTAGAATCAAAAACGGCCATCTTCAAATTTTTCAAAATTAATAAAATAAAAATAATTTTCTTAAGCTTTTTACAAAACAAAAATTAATAGAACTATAAATATTTGTAATCGTTATGCTTAGGAGTGACATAACAAAAAAAAAAAACACAATTTAAATATTTTTATTATCTTCGGATATATTAAAATGGGTAAATCTTCGTGGGATACTTTGTATATATATATGTATATAAGATTATAGGTATTATCAATATTAATACCGGCAAACATGTATAACTTGTACAATGTACATAGTATTATGTACACTAATTTATGGTGGTCAGTAAAAAAAATCAAGGAAAAAGGATAAAAATAGAAATCCAAGAAAAAAAATGTTAGGTTAATAAATGAAGCTTTTATGGTTTTCAAAATGTTTGGTTTTTGAACTAGGTTAATAGTCTGAGTATGATTTGTGTGCGTCTAAAATGTTTTTTACAGCCTAATGACGATTATTATCCTGCTCACTTAAGAAACCTCAAGTAAATACTATAGTCCATAGTACCTACCTAACAAATCATTAAGGTATATCTATAACTTTATCTTTTTGAAATCAAAAGAGAAAGTCTGAATTTATATTTTTTATAAGCTGGAAAATATATTAATATTCTTTTAAAATATTGCTAATTTCAATGAACATGCAATAACATCATAACAATGCCTCCTTCTATGAACGGCGTTACTATCTCTAGTTATTATTGTATGACTCAATATAATAATTTACGTATACCTTAGCATGAAAAATACATACCTGTGTACTGATTATAGACGTCATAAGTATATCGGTTTCTTGTTGTGCTTTGATAAGATCCGCGTTTTCATTCAAACCGAATATCGTGGGCACTGTGATTAAAGGCAACTGTTCGATGTATTGAATGAATTCATCGTGTTTGTCCAAGTGCGGACAGCAGTAAGTTCCTTTAACATAATATTATTATATAATCACGAGATGTCACAATGCCGGATATGTGTACGCTTTTATATATTTATTATTACCAGTTTTATCAAATCTATAATTTTTCTTGGTGACTATGTCTCGTGTATAGAACCTATTCAAAAATGTAATAAGGCATCGGCGATCCCAGTCGTCTGTTACGCGGCCCCCGTAGTTGCACTCTCCGGTCAAATAGCGCAATGCGTCAAATTGAATGGTCGGATATTCATTTAAAAAGTTTTGCAATTGTACAACGCTGATTTTGAGGTCAGTTTCGTTAAACTCATACGGTCGATTCCATCCGATCGGACCGAAATGCCGGCGCTCTTGTATCAGAGCATGGAAAAAGCACAATCCAAAAAGCATTTTTTTGAAATTGCTTTTCTGTTTACAGCCTTCAAAGAATTCTTCGTTTATAATTGGATCACTCATAAACGATCTGCTCGTTAAACATTGAGATTGGAGTCGATTAAAAACCATTTTTAATTAGTATAAGTACTGGTATATTAATTATAGAATTACCTGTAGATATTAGCTTGTAGCCCTTTTGGCGGTTCATTAGTCATTTTTATACTGTTTTGTAAAACCGACACTGGAAAGTATTCTACGGGATACGACGTTAACCAAAGTCTAAATTCCGGATGAGTTTGTTCGGAAGAGAGTTTTTCACATATCTATAAAATGGAATACAATGAGTTAAATTTTCGAATATACTATATCGAAAATGTATAAATTATGTTGTCCCAAATAGGGATTGTCTGAGCACTTAATATTTGATAAGCATATTAAAGTTAAATGAGTTATTATTATTATAATTATTATTCAGAAGTATACTTGTGCTTGTTTTTAAATATATCACACATAAAAAAAATAATTTGGTTTTTGTTTTCATGATTTTAACTTTTAAGTAAATTTTCAAAATTATAGTAAAAAACGTAAAATTATTATTATTTAAAAATCATTAAATCCAATATATATGTACGCAAATAACATTACTTAAAGTTAGATTAATATGTTTAATTATATTCACCACTTCTAATTGTGTCATCCAACTTTTAGCCAAATGACAGTTTTGTAGCAAAATCCAATTACCCAATCTGGTAGCATCACCAATAAGTCTTGAAGCAATCGGACCCTGTCCTTGGCCCAACGATAAAGCTATAAAACGAGCACCGAATCCCTGTGCGAAACATCATAATTTATTTACATTGATTGTTTAAATTTTTAACAAAATCAAGTTATGCATATCAATAAGCCACAATTAAACAATTAAAAGTTATATCTGTAATATTTAAAAAAGTAGGTGCTTACAGATTTCTCTGAAAATTTCAGTAACATATCTGTTGGATCTGCTCCTGGCGTCAAAACAAAAACTAATGGAGTTGAACTGTTTGAATCGTCAAAAGTCGTTGCCATATCGAACGGCGGAGGTATGGTAAATTTTGCTTCCAGTAGAGATTCATCTGTAGTTAGTAATTTGGGAGGTATAATTATTATTATCCAGTGCAATCATATTTTCGATAAACTTACAAGCTATAAAATGTTGAATGGACGGTAAAATCTTATCATAGCGGAGTAAACGTAGTACGAGACATTTTTGAAAATAGTTGAGGTGCTTATCCCACGGATCGGGAAAAGGAGTCAAGTGCGGTTCTAATGAATCATAAATCACTTTCCATGCGTTTGTATTAGATTCAAAATCCATTCGTATGCCCTTTAATAATATTTTCCAAGTTATTTAAACATTTGTATATTATGAATACAAACAAAAAGCGTTAGTGCTGTATATTATATTATATATTAGCATTGATTCATTCAACATCTATTTTTTTTAAAACTGATTATGTAAATTATAATAAAATATTAACTTTACGTGGAACGGTCTATAATATTCTAGGTGGACAAGATTATACTAGTTGTAAAGGCGAATGACAAAGTAGACGTATACTTGTTACAAAGCAGTAATTAAATGTAACAGCCGCTCTTTTATGAGTTATATTCGAATTATGAGAGTCATAACTCATTAAATTACAATAATAAATAAATATTTTATGCATAAATCATTAAATAATTTTAATTATTATTATCTGTCACTGTTGAATTTATATTATTTATCTATTCTAGATTCTGAGTGAAGCAAGGAATGTATTAGTTTTACAATGATGTTTATTTTTTCTTCTGTGAACTTTTCTACTTGAAATATTTTGCTCCGATTTTCAAGTATAGCACCTTTTTAGAGGAAATTAGTTTTCAATGAAAAATTTTAGTATCAAATTTTGACGAAAATCGTAAATATTATGGCCTTTTAACATGTATAACCGAACACCACTGAGAATTGTTTTTCATTAGTAAATATTAATACGTCACGTACAGATATACATTAAATTTCCCTCTATATCCAAGCTCCTTAACTTCTCATCAACAACAGTATCCCACCCATTGTGTAAAGTATGTCCATCCTTTTTTTCTTTATACGTCTATTTTATAGTAAGCACCTACCTATATTGTGACGGAATGTATTTCATTAGATTTATCCATGTCGTGTAAATTTAATGAAAAATTACACAAAATGTAAAATAAAGGTTATAATTTCACCAAATGAATACAATTTATGCCTATTTCATGAACTCAAAAACTTAAAGTTTTTTCTTCATATACTTAAACACTATCGATGTCCATGAAAGGGATATCCATTTCGTGAAATGAGCATTTGCACTATGTGGATGTGACATATTGTAAATATATAATAAAATTATGCAAGAATATAAATTATATATAAAACTATAACTATTTCAAAAAGAGTAATCATTATAACCTTAAACTTCGGAAAATCGTCGAGTTTACATAATTCATTCCAGCTTTTATCTGTTAACCAACCAATGGGGTTCTTTAACGGATTATCCAAGCTAATGCCACCTGTTATAAAAAATATCCATTCGTCCTTGTTGATTTTGTCGGACAAATTAATCGCCATGATCAATGAGAATAATAATTTGTCCTGTATAATATGTAGAGATGAAGATGAAGTTGAAATAATTAAATTTTATGTCAAAAAACAAAATGACTATTTTAAATTCAAATATAATCACGGCATAATAAAATTTGTATCCATTAATTTAATTTGGATTTTTTTAAAAATATATTCAAATATCCTTAATATATGCCTTAAAATGACTTTATGAATACATTAAAATTAGGAATAAAAGTTATTTTTTAAAATCATATTTTCATCTAAAGCGTGTCAGTCTATTGCATGGTAGTTTTGACTATCGCAAAACTTACTTTTTCGAATAAACTTCTGCAAATATTGACGTATAAGGAATAAGTGAAATATTTTATTAACTCGAAAGTTCGGTCATCGATTTGTATACGTTTAGGACTGTTTCTAATGGCCGAAGTGAATAAATTTATGAACCATGCAAGTGAATATTGATACATGGGATCTATGTTTGCTAACGTGTCAATTGTGAAAAACAATTTAGTCGAATGTGTCGCAACCACGCGGTATTGCTGTCTGGTTTTATCTATCGATATTTCAGTGATCTCTGCTGCAGCTTGCTTTTCATTTATTTCGTTCGCTAGGACTTTTGAAGAACTCAGTATGGTCACAGCGCCTTCGTCGTCTAAAATATTTCCTTCAGAAGAACTCAAAACTTGTAATATCTTATCTTCAATGTCTTTTAAGGATCTAAAAAAAACCGTGCTTTATCATTCTTGATGCTTAATAAAATCTTTGCAAATTTTTATTTTTCATAATAGTAACAATTAACAATCCGAAACTGTAGATGAAAAAAATATATTTTCCCGTCATACAAGATTTCATAACTGTAAATTATTCTATGATTATTGACTAATATTTGTTCAATGTTGCACTTTGTTAACATTGTAACTTCGAAAATAACCAGAAAAAAGTGGTTTTGGTTTTTAAATTTCCAAATTAGACCTTATAAGAAAAGATCATATTTAAAACTCTGAGAGAGAATGATTAAACTGGAGAGACGGAAAGATTATTATTCACTTGTACAAAAAAACCAACAACTAAAATTGAAGTGAATGAATCTAGATATGAAACAAGAATAAGAAAAAATATTATAGAAGGCTTTATTACCTTATCTATTTAACCTGTTTATTGAGAATAACATAAATATTAAGAAAGAAAAAACACGAAGGTGTAGTATAAATAGACAGCAAATACATCCGATTCGCAGACGACATAGTAATACTTTCCGAATCTGAGAATGATATAAATAACATGCTATAACTAGCATCAGTTGAAGAGTTGAGAGCAAGAGTTTTAGCCTCATACACACGTTATAACATGTGCTAAAATGTATTAGTTTATTTTAGATTTAAATATTGATATTTTATATACTTGGCATTTTGCGCGCCTTGTATAATCAGTTGATTTTTTTCGGTTTCCAAGTCAGGCCGGTCTTTAGCTACAACCACACCGAGTAATTGATCTTCAAGACCGATCGGAGTTATCATAAAATTCAATAACACTACTTTCACGGCTACTTCGGGTAAGTAATGCGGATTTCTCAGCTTTGTTGTTATGTACAGTCTTAAAAAGATAAATACATAATATATAAATAAACATAGTAAAACATAATTTTTCAAATGTGTTCAGAATATATTTTTAAATACTTGTGTAGTGTAAATTGTATTTGAATATAAATTAAAATAATTTTTCAAAGTATTTAAAATACTTCTTTTTATAATTTATGTGATATGCCTTGAAATATTTCTATATTCAACCAATTATAAATAAACACTTAAACTTATTTATGGGCATTTAATTTAAATAATTTCAATAATTTCAGATATTGCGTATTAACATTATATTATTTAATTGTGTTAGTAAATGAGTAAATAAAAATAGATATAAAATATTTTGGAATAGAAATAAAATTTAAAAAAAGTATGTTTAATACATCATATCAAAAAGCATAACTTCTAAAGTATTTCTTCCTAAAAGTATTTCTACGTATTCGAATACGTAATAAGAATGTTAATTATAAGTGGTAATTAAATAAATAAAAATAGAGTATTGAGTGCATTAAACTTTACCTAAAATTATCATCATATTCGATAATGGCATCGCCTAATTGTAGGCAATACCTTCCACCGGTCAAGAATATCTGCGTCAACAATATTGGTTCTAATATCGGATCAAGTTCTTCATAGACGTTTTCTAATAGCACCTGATACAATGTCAATATAATAAGTATTTTTATTTTCCATTTTAGGATATTAGAATGTAGTATTTTAGTCAGAATTACGATTTTATTGTACTGACTTAAAAAAAATGAATAAACATGCTTTTCAAAATACAATAAAAGAAAAAAAATAGTATAAAAAAACAAAAAAAGAGCTGATACTCTGGATAGATGGAGCCACTAGTGTAGGTAGGAAGTTGGGAAGGTAGGATACATAAGGTTATTCTATTTATATCTGTATGCAACGATAAACTATTGCTTAAAAGACGATTCCGAGCGCAATTCGGTTATACATAATTTTTGCGATTTTCATTTAAATTAGATTTTAAAACTTTTATTAAAAAAAAAGTCATCCGATAATTTTGGAAATTTTACCATGTCTATGTTAATCAAATATAAGTGTTATTACCAAGTTTCAAGTCTCTACGTGTATTTATAATCGAATTACAGTAAAAAAACTCCTAGAAATTAGAATTCCCTAAAAGCTCAAAAGTGGCTCAAAAATTTCGAAAATGATACGGTAAGAAAGTAAATCAAAAAGTAAATAAAAATGATATCTTGTGATTTTTCGATTAAATCATTTTTTTCTGGTGGAAAACGTCGTCCGTGTTTTTATAAAATAATGAAATCGTGAAATTGTACGTTTTTCTATATTTTTTTCCTACTTAAGTGCTTTTATTTAAAAAATGGCGTCAAAAATAAAAAAAAAAACGACTTCCTTAAAGTACAATAAAGTAAACTTAAGCTTTCAGAAAAGTTTCTACGCTTATACATCGGAGCAAGTTTACTAGGAAAAAACGTGTCCACAGACTATAAGAAAGAAAGAAAAAAATAAATAGCATTGTAAAACCAATATCTCGCTCGCTACACTCGAAATCTAAAATGCAAAATACAATTTTGAATTCTAATTCTTTATATATCACGAAACGAATTTCTGCTTGTTCGATTAATTTTTAAGCATCATAAAAACAAATTTATACAAAAACCTATAACTATATTTATAGTATGTTTTAGAATTTTATAGTCCTGTTTACTATAAGTACCTTCAACTAACAGTAGTATAACATTATGAAAACAATAATAATTTACAATAAAGATGTAGGGGAATAACGGTTAATTAAGACCATGATTTGTCATGGTAGCTAAGAGGGAACTGATTGACAGGAAGAATAGGGAGAAACTCTAAAAGGCATTTTCGCAATTAGGGAAAATCAATTTGTCCGTATAAGTTCGTGAAGTTTGGTTGAATAAACTGAGATAATTTTCACGCCCAATGTGTCCAGCTCAAAAAATTGGTGGACAGGCACATAAACATCTGTGGACGTTCAATATGTATAATTTAATTAATATAATTTGAAAATTTGCTCTGGACTCGTTCGAATATTACAGAATTTTTCGACGTGTATGACCCCTGACTTGTAATGACAGTAAATTTATTCTAATATTGACCTCAACAGTGAACAATAAATGGCTTTTAAAATTGTATAAATTATAAAATCTCAACCTCTTATATTTGTTCGATATGTATTTCTATATGGTCATATTATTTTCACGGACAAAAGCCGAAATCAGGCAAATTTCAGAAATGCACTGGCAAAACGTCATATTTCTCATTTTGCCTAGACTATGTTAGTAATGACCAACCTCATTTGGGTAAAACTCAAACGTCCATAAAATTCAATTTTTCATAGTAGGCAGGTACAATATTTTTTTTCAATATTACACATAAATAACCATAAAATAAAAATTATTGTTCCAATATATAGTTATATATGGTTAAATAAATTGGTATAATAATAAAATCAATATAATATAATAACTCGAAACTCTAACGTTAAAAACAAAAACTGCAAGTGAAGTCGTATACAATATCATAAATACTTTTTATATATTCAAAGCTCCGTACGGAGCATATTACAATCAAGCAATAGTAGTGGTGTTTCTAAATCGTACCTATTATACATGATTTAGTTCTGCTGTGGAATGGCTTAATAGTTTACGGGAAGTAGCGTCATTCTCAAATCCAAGGGAGTGTTTAGCAAGCCAACTAGGACATTGAGAAAATTAATTATGTCTGGATGAAAGAAATCAGACCAGAAAGTGAAATGAAGGATTAAGATTCTATCAATTCTAAAAAAAAAAAAAGCACATATAATTCCGGAATTAAACCAGTGGTGTATTGGTGTGTATACGCGAATATACTATGTATACCCAGATCCCTATTTTCGGATTTATGCGTATACATATAAGCAAATTCGTTGATTGAGTGTACGCTAATTAAAAATATGTACATTAAAGGTACGTGAGCTTTTAATTTATATCTTCACTATAAAACCGTAAACAAAAAGCAATAATAATATCGTATAGTCTGTCCCACAAGAGAGAAGATCGGGAGTTAAGTTTAAAATGTAGGTCTTTATAGTGAATATCCCACTGAACCTAATACTGACAGAGTATGATTCTCTTTCAAACTAAGTCTATACCACGGATTAATATAGTTAGCTGTCTTAATCCATGGTCTATAAGTTTGCACGGTTTTATATAAATCGTGGTTCGATTGAATATTAATCAATTCATACTTTTGGTTTAAAGTATGAGTATAAGTATGTCATTTTAATAATTATTATTATAATATTGTAGAAGATAGACTTATATCTGAATAGTTTGTTGTATCTATTATATCCTTTTAGGAACCTTTCGTGTATTATTAGTTATTACACAATTCCATAATATTGTTTTAATATTTACCTAGCTGATGTACAAAAATAAGAATTACCTATATAGGTAAATAGGTAACTATGTATAATTAATAAACTATGAATTAAAATAGAATTTCATGTATAAAGTATTTTTTAGCAATTGTTTAGATATCTATTATCATTGCCCAAAGTTCTAAATAGTAAATTTGCTATAATGATATAACACATATAAGTTATACGTGACATATTTTCACGATTTTCTGACCCAATACTTAACAGTCAAAACTAATTACTATAATATTGAATATATTATTATTGTATTTGGTAGATAAGGAGACATACTACACGATAAAAATAATAATTTTGCGCGGTGATTTAAATCAACCAATCAGAGAGCACAATCAGTTAGCAAGAGCCAAAATCTACTATATAATGTTAATATGTAACCAGGCAAAGTCAAAATATGACGTTTTGCCCAAGTATCGTGTACACTGAGATTTGCCCAATTTCGGCTTTTGTCCTTAATATTATTATAAATACGGGTTGGCCATTGGTGATGGCATGTTCTAGCTGGGAAATGTAGTTGGGCAAATTAAAACGAATTATGTGCAACGAGTTTTCCATTTCCATTGTTTTTATCCATTTGTTGGCTTGTCCTTGGGGATCAATCATCAATGCCGATCGCCTAGCGTTTCTGAAAACAATTTTCTGAAATTAATGTAATAATATACACAATAGAAATCGATCTATATTCAGCTTCAAAGACCATTAAGCCTTTCATTGGTATTCCACACAGTCTTTTTTTGTTGTGTTTTGTTTTAGAACCCATTGTTTTTTATGAATTGGGTAATTATCAATACATTAACCCCCATTAATAGACAATCTGACTTTTAAAAGATTTTTCATCTCCCCATTGCGGAGTTTTTAATAAATAAAATAGCTATTGCGATACCGCTTTCAATGGCCTCTATAGCCTATCTCTATTTCGACACGACAACATTATTATAAAATGATAATAATCGAAATATGCGATGATTTACTTACGTGACAATAATGCCGTTATCTATTGAAAATAAATCAGTCGGTAATCCAGCTACATTCCAAGCTCTAATTTCTACTGGTTTACCGAGTACTGCGCTCAATTGAAAATCTTTGGTACAAACAATTTTATTTTTTTGCATTTCAACAACCCAACTTTTGATCTGGTTGCTCCTATAGTCCATGGTGAATGGACCTAAATACGCGATAATACCGGAGCTCACCAACAAATCTCCTGGAACGAAACATAAATTATTAGTAATTATTGGTTATTAGCTATTATAAAGACTTTAAAATATTATTATAATATATACCGGTTAGATTCAAGTAACGTTCTCCTAGATCTAAGGCCGTGTTTCCCCAGCGTTGTTTTTCGCCTCCTAATCCACCAATTAATTCGTTAGCTCGTTTCATTTTTATTTGTACACCGTCAGCCTTATTTTGTAACAGGGTCATTTCGCGTTGGTTCTCATCCAGACTATCTTGCACGAGTTTTAGTTTCAATTCTACCGCACGAAGTTGCGTTCTTTTTTCATTTAGCGCTTCCATTGCGTCGTTAAACATCGTTTCTGCTTCTATTAAAGCAATTCTTTTCGGCGCTATCTCTTTGGCGACTATGTCGTAACTAGACATCGCTATTACCCATTTGCATAAACCTTGTGCGGCAATCGAAGCATTTTTAACTTTGTTCGGATCAAATTCGGGGTCGGTAATGTATTTTTCGTTGATGACTTTCATAACTCTACTTGGTATATTATCTTTATCAAAATTAATGAGTTGCTCTAAAAATTTGATGTCGTTAAGTAACTTTTTTGATGGTCCCCAATAGTCTTCTACCATTTTTCCGGTAGATTTATCGGGAACTTTATCGGGTTTTATGTCTCTGATGGTACAAATAGCTTCCATAACCAATTTAACTGCCTTAGGAGGATTTTTCATGGATTTTACAAATGTAATATCTTGGGAAGTTACTGTATTTAACGCTGCCAATGCGGCATCCATAGCGGGTTTTGCAGCTAACATGTGAGCTTCGCATTCGTCCTTAATTCCTTGTGCTTCGGCTGCAGTTACCATTGCCTTTTCTTCGTCTTTTTCAATATTGTGTTTTACTTTTGATACTTCAATGTTTTCTTTTTCGATTTTTTCCATAATAATTTTTACTTTTACAGCAGCGCTTTTAATTTCTGGCTCTAAATACGTCAATTCTGTTTGCATAATTGCAATGTCGTCGGCAGCATTTTGCAGTTTTTCTAGTCCTACTTCATATCGACGTTTTGCAGTGAGAATTTCTCTATAAAATAAATAACAGTGAAGCATAGTAAAATAATATTAAAATTTACAACATTGTGGACACATAGAACAGGTATTTACTCACTCTCGTTTTTTACTCAAAACATCTTTAAATGTAGAAATCATTTCTAAGTAAGAAGTGGGTGTTATATATGTTTTACGCTTTAGTTGGGTATCAAATTCTAGCGATAAGTTCTGAGTTGTTAAATGGAAATGTTGACACATTATAATACTAACATTACGTTCGTGATCTGTTAATTCAACATCACTTAAAAAATGTGTAGCCACTGCCGTTAAAGCGTCTGATGGCCAACTCTAAAATACACAATAGATATTTATTAGTTGATTTAAAGAATCTAGAATTGTTACGATTTACCTGAAACCAATCTATGGTACAACATTGCACGAGTGATGGAAATTTTCTTATTCTTGTCCTAAGCCCATTGCCGATCGGACTGAATGCCAACGATATGTGCAGTTGATCTCTCACAATTTGAATAAATAAATTAAACAACGCGGTCGTACTACCATCAGTCTAATTAAACTTCCAAATTTTAAGAAAATGTACAAAAATTCAATTATTTATACACAAATAAATTAAATACTTGAATAGTTTTATCACGTTGTTTATCTAGGTTACGCATTTTTTCACAGATCTCGATTTTTTCGTCCGGCATAAATAAGTTTGGTACTTCTCCAGAATTTAGTAAATTGTTTATATCTTCGACCATTCCTTCATCTTTTATCTATAACACCGTACATATTTGTACATATATTTATTTAATACTGTTTTAAACTCTGATGCTGGGTTGCATAAAACTATACAGGAGGTCTATTCTTAAACCATTCTTAAACCTAACCTAACCAGCCTTTCGATCAAAAACCGGTCGAAAACAACCCGGGTTTCGATTGATAACAAAAACACTATTCTCAAAATGTAATTGTTTTCGATTACTAGTTCGATAGTGTTCAATAATTTACAACGACAGTGCATTAGGTATCGAAAACTCTTTTAGATAATTGTCACTTATCATTATTACGTATAATAATATAATCTAAATATTTATTAATTTACGTATATCATAATTTTTCCGTTTAAACTTAAATTTGTTAATATTTATAATTTATAACTATTTTATTTGACAATGACTTGGAAGATTATAATATGTTAAATAATATCGAAATATTTAATATTACTGAAACGAACCAAGGCGTATTTTATAAGGAGAAGATCCATTTGTTGGTAATAATCTTTTTGAATTATACTATGCTAGTACTTACCAACTTATAAGGTATATCATATTCTAAAACATATCTATAATATTATTTGCAAATAAAAATTTAGTTACCAACATACTTATGGTTTTGTTAGCATCAATCATAGAATTTAAAAGCTGTGTTATTTGTTCCCATATATTTTAGGTTTTTTTGTGAGTAAAGCTGGAAGTAAATTTACCTTTTTTTAGTTCAATATTGTTTTCCATAAACTCAACGAGTGTTTCTTTCTGTGCCATTGTTACAGACCTTTCTTTGCTTTTCTTTAAAGTCATTGTGTTAGAATAATTTAATTTAAGTATAAGGTATACCTTCTTATATATTTTCAATGAAGACCTAACATTAAACACATTATAGGTACCTAATTATTAATAATAATTATATATTAGGCCATGGTTAACATTCAAATTTTGTTATCATTAATTTTAATGATAACAATTTAAAATATCGTGGAAAATATGATTTTATTCGATAGTCGAAAAGAGTGTCAAAAGTAATTTATTCGATTCGATAATTGTTTAAGAATACGATTGATCAAAAATTTCTACTCGAATCGATATTTACGATCGAATATTGTCAATCGAACTATGTTTTTCGATTATCAGATTCTATACCTTTGAAAATAGACCCCCAAAACTGATAACTGATAATTTTCTAAAAAATTAGAAACAGTTCCGTAAATTTGATAGCTGTTATTAAAAATATAGTTATTAAATGTATTAATTATTGAGCTGATTTAGGTTTAGTCAAATGTTTAGATTGGTTTAACCTTATGATTTGGGTAATATTATTGTAATTTTTTTTATTACGACCAAAACGTTATTTAATTTTCTCGTTAATGCATATGACTTTATTCTGTGCGACTATTTAGTAATATATTTATTCCGAATTTTACAATAAAAATGTCAGTAAAATCATCCTCATCTTCATCATATGAGTCTGGTGATATTTTATTTGAAATTATTATTAATGTGCCAAGGTCGAGGCAATTTAGGAATCGATCAAATCCCATCGAAAATAATCCGTTTATGTGGTAAAACTAAATCGAACAAAAGACATTTTTCTGTCTCGGTGAAGTTTTTACCTATTTTAATATCATTTACCATATTGACAAAATATCTTAATAAAGTAACAACAAACTTGAAATTACAGATATATAAATAATTTTTAATATTTACATAAAATATTTAAAATATTTATACTGATAACTGAGCAACTGATTATAGCCATAGGTATCAAATACAAATAATGAAATACTTTTATGCAACGTAATATGCTCAACAACTATAACTTTACAAAACCTATAGATTACAGAAGCAACAGTTTGCAGAACGGTTTTTTTGCAATTAAGCAATTAGCATTTAGTGACCTAACTAATTGTAAAATTAATAACTCCCTCTATATCCTACCTTCCAAGGCTGTTACAACAGTGGCCTACCATGGTCCGAAGTATATCCGTATTTTTCTTTTAGTTAAGTTTTGCATGTACAATTTAAATTTACATAAAAAAATATCATAAAATTAGCAAAATGTATTTTATTAATGGACATGGAAAGAAAAATAGGGGATATTAGAGGTTTGAAGGTAGTGTTTTCTATATTAACTTTATATTGATATTATAAAGTTTGGTTGTGGCAAGTTACGTCTTATATTATTTTAGGACTTTTTATATTTTAAAACCATTGTATTTCTACATAAAAACTAGAAAAAAATTTTAATTTACAATATAACCAAGCAACAAAACTATTTTATTTTAATAAAATAATAAAGCAAAAACATATTTATTAAAATGGTTAATACTCGTAAATAAATATATAAATTTAAATGTATTTATTTTTATTTCTATCTATACATTTTGTATTTATATACTTATTTACTATATTTATTTTATTTTAATTAAAACTTATTTTATAGAAGTGTAATAGTGCTGGCAAGAGTTTAACGACATTTCAATTAGTAAACAAATAATGGCTAGAGTGAAATTTTAATGTATTTATAGAAATTGAAACTACACAACACCATCAACTAGTGCCGGTCATGAAGGTCCGAAAAAAACTATTTGCTGACAGTTGTGAACGTTTTAAAAAAAGAAAAGTTAAATATTTTGCACCTGGGAGCACAATTTCAGGAATAGTATGTAGTACTTGTACGAGATTGCAAAAGTTCCGGTAAAATAACAGGAACAAAAATAATTAAAGAAGCTACAACATTAACGCCAAAAACCATGCACAGAGTAAAAGATTCAGTGATGCTAATGAATAAACAAACAATACTTTAGTTGTATCATAATATATTTATGGTAAAATATGGAGGAGAATTTAAAGTATATATGTACGCAGGGTCATGGAAAAAAAATTTGGGCCCGAAGGTAGTGGCATATAGGCCCCTCTTTTTGTCCCATATTTTACACACATGTTCCATATTTCCAATTAAAAATTAAAACATAACTTTATTTAAAATTATATTTTTATTTATCTACGAGTCACGAAAAAATAAAAACAAACAAAATATAAAATATATTAAATGTACAGCACCGTCCCTCCGATGTTTGTTATCTACGCGATCTACAACGTAAAGATAATTCTTAAAATTATTTTAAAAAATGTGCTATGGACACCGTCACATGAGTTATAAATATAACCTATAGATACTTTACTTACATATATACTTTTAGATTCTGAATGGAGCGAAGAAGCGTATTGTGTTACAAAAATGTTTATTTTTTTTTTATCTGTTAACAAATTTTTCACGAGCAATTTTACTCCAGCTTATCTTAATACCAATATTTTTTAAAGGAAATTTTACTAGGCGGGTAAAGGCCTTTTTACCTAAGGCCCATTTGGAAAGGTTATTTTTGGATTTTTTCAGTTTTCCCAGCAAATGTGAAAAACTGGGGTAAAACATGGGAAAACGTAGAAAAATTGGGAAAATCGGTACAACATTAAACAAATATTATTAAAGAAAATATATAAAGCCTATTTAATTATTTTACTATAAAATAACATATATATTATTGACAAAACATCATCATCAACTGAACTCCACTCAGAATCGTTTTTTCGTAAGCAATTGTTTATCATTGCTTATAGGTATTCATTGAATTATCTATAACAGTGGCTGCATCCGTCCCCATTATTCTATGGTTTTTTTTTTAAACTAAAATTATTTTTAATTCCAGTTAGAATGCAATTTTTTTTAGAATGTGATAAAATATAAATAGTTTAAATAAAACATAATATTTTATTGTTATCATGTACCGATGTTATATAGTTATGTTATGATTGTGTATTATTATAAATTGTACTCACTTCAGAATCTGTGAACAAGAAAACGATGTTTTGGTCAAACGTAATAGTGACTCGTTTAAATACATCTTTCAGATCTTCGTGCCATTCGTTCATTCCATACAAGCTTGTCATTTGAATCTGGATAATTTATACGTTTTTAAATAATTCAGTAGGGGTAGACAAATTGTTTTTTGATACTTGAAATAGTTCAAATTGCGAAATATGTGCAGCGAGCCTCGTTAGCGACTGACGACCCGATCCTCCTAAACCAATAAGTAATGCGTGTCCTCGTGGTTGATTTATGATACGAGAAATTCGCGAGAGATGTTCAAGAGCAAATCTAAAAATAACCAACTGCATAGGTTTTTTGCTTATTGAATTAAATTCGTCGAGGAATTGTTCAACGGTCTCTCGAAGGCTGTCTAAATCGCGTACTTCTTTATAACTTTTATTTATAGCATTCGGGTCAGAGAAGTCACAATAAATTAATTGGCGTAATTCAGTTTGGCTCACCTAATTGTTAATACATAACACATTTAATATTAAATTATTCGATGCTATCGATCAGTTTTATTTTTACTATATTATTATTTTCCTTTGTGGTCAGATATTGAAACATTTTGTTTATGTCTTCGCCGAGAAATTCCTTACACGAAAAACATAAATTATCGAAAAACCATAAGCGATCTGAATCGTCAACTAAACGGTCGTAATATACTCGTAAGATTTCATGTACCCAGAGACGTTTCATAGAAATGACATCGTGAATAGTTGAGGGGATAGAAAACAAAATCCCCTAGTAAAAAAAAAATAATAAAACAATTATAAACAAATAAGACGCATACTAGTATGGTATATTTAAATAACTGACTTGTATGAGTTTGGAAAAATCTCTTAAATTGAACAAATAATGAGATTTTTCTGGAGTCGGTAACAAATATCCTATGCTTTTTGTGTGCAGATCCAACGTAGAATCGATCAACTGTTGAACACACGGTTGAAAATTTTTGTTGAACCCTCTGCACAATAATGAAAAAAAGATAAAATTCAATTAACATGTTTATATAGTTGAATTTTTCAAAAAATTATATATTTATAACTCTCACTTGTTTTCTAAATGCCAAAATAAAATGCTGCTAAATATCGAGACCATTGTCGGATCGTCAAACGAGTTTATTACGAGAATGTTAAAATGACGACTGAATCTAGGGGTGACGGTGTTTCCGGACGACGGTGGACCCATAGCGCACAACAACAAGACGTCTTGGATGTTTATAGCCGCCAGCTCTTTTCGGTCGTACCACGGGAATTTGTCTAGATACTGTCGCAAGAGTTCGATCGGTGGCTGAGCACCGTAATATTCCTTTTGTGGCATGCTCACGTCGTCGATAAATATCACACACTTTGTACCGATAGGCGGGCCGAACACTCCACGTCGCCTTTTGTTGAGTTTACCCATGATTATGTCCTGCGTGACGTTGGCCGAAGTCTGGGCAGAAAAGTTTACGAACGATGGCCAGTTAACGTTCCGATCGAGTTTTGTAAAAATATAATTCTACGACACAGAAAAACGCACCAATTTTACCAAATATAGTTTAAATACCAGTTTATACTGAAAAACACTATCGATTAAAACCGTCATAGGTACCATAGTATACGCAGATTTCCCGGTTCCGGTCTTGCCCACCATCATCATTGGTTTATTGTGTTCCAACAGCATGGCCATTAGTATCTGGTTTCTTACTGTGTCCACGGTGGGCACTATGATTTCGTTGAAGGGCACGTCTTTTGGTATAGGCGGTTCTTCTTCTACGAAATCGGTCCACGGTTTCCACTGTCCTTTGCCTTTGTCTACGAGAACATAATAATAATCATAGACCAAACCTTCTTTGGGAATCGGATTTGAATACGATTTGGTCGGTGACGGGCACAATTCAACAGGTATGTTTAACGCCCGGGCGACTTTTTTGGGAAATTTATCCTTCTGTAATGCCCGACACATTAAATTGAATTTAATTCGACTTTTCAAATCCAAAGCGGCTCCCATCGACCAAATAGCCGAAAAAAAACATATGCACTGTAGAAAAGCACATAAATATCATACAATTATATTTAAAATAAAAGTAGATAATAGGTAATATATATAATACTTCAATCTGCGCTCTGACATCACTCTGTAAAACCGTTTTCATATACTCTTCATTGGAGTATGGTTTCATAAAAGTATCACAAATGTTTGTAAACGATCTGACTAAGTTTGAATCACTAGTGGGAAATACTTCCTAAAATATAAAATACATTTAAGACTAACAAGTTCTTTAATTATTATAATTTTATCAACTTTATATAGGACGCATACGGTCATATTGCAACGTCTCAACATGAACAATATCGGCCGAGCAAACCGTATGACAAGATTCTCTAGTATTTGAATGGATGTTGTGGATAAATACGGTGATTGTTGGTTTATCCATGACTGTACGAGGCATTCCCAGCCCAAAGAAACAGATTCCATGAAAATCATGCCACACCTAGAAACCTTTAATATGACAAAGCACGTAAGCAAATAATAAATCAAATTGCATCTATACTCCATTCTAAATAAGAACGCACCGGACGGCGGATAATATTCGGTCAAAACTCGCGTAGCCATATAACTGCGACCGATCGTAGAGTTAATAGATTCAGCCAAGGTGGCAGGACGTCACTCCGAGATAAATTTGGATACGCCGAGCGATGCATTCTTATATGGAACGGAGATACTAAGTATAAACTTAAAATTTAAAAATAAAATAAATAGTTCAAAAATCATCAGAATATTTTGAAAATTGGACCAAGTTTTTAAAGTGGTAATATTTTTTCTACATTATATTCAATTATTTAGAAAACAACATGAAAAATCTATTTAGTAAACCAATTAGATAAAACGTGAGATAAAATTTAAAAACCAAAAACTACCACTAAAGTTAATAATCGGTGCATCATGTTTGGAAAAAGACTTGTTTATAGACAGAAAAAAAACACATTATAGTTAAAACCACGATTAAAAGTATACTAGTTACGCAATGAGACGAGACTTCTGTAGTGTCTTCAACTTTTGACTGATAAGCAATGTATTACGATGCGCTCTATAGTAGCAGTAAAAAAAATTCACGAATTCGTTTGATACGAACCCCGATATCATAAAATGTGGTGATAATATAATAAACGCTTGTTATCTTTTCTTAAACATTTCGGGAACCACATTTTATATTCTTGTCATAGTTCACTGCGTAACCAGTATATCTTTAATGGTGGTTAAAACCAAAATAATATATAAAAAAATATTGCTTTTGTTACTTACAGTTGCCGGAGACGCTACATCCAAGTCCATGGGTTCGAAAATCAAATTAGTCGTGTTGGCTAGCTGTATTATTTCTCCAGATATTAAACACAATTTCTTGTTGTCGTCCAACACAGTGTTCATACTCTCGATCCATATCGCGTCTACCGGCCCATCGAAAATCAACCATTTCCTATTTAGATTATCGGATGATGCAAATTTTCTAAATCCGACGGCCAAAATACCGTCCGACCATTCGTGCGATATCAAATCAAACTGCCCGTAAAGTTGACCCAACGTTATGGACTTCGGATTGATAACCATAATTTCAACTTTGTGTTCATTCATTAATTTCTATATAACATTCAAATAGACGTCATGTTTAAAAATAATTCTATAAACGTGTAAGATACAACAAACTATGGTCAAATTGAATAGAGAGAGAGAGAGAGAGAGAGAATTAGAGAGAAAGCAAAGAAACAATTCTACATTCGAAATCTACAATATTTATTATAATACTTATAACATTTATTAAAACCAGTTCAAACGGATTGAATAAAAGACAGGAAAAAAAATTAAAACGTTGTTAATATTACTATACACAGGGTGACCTACAGTGTTATCCTACAGTGTAATTCTGCCAATATTCATTTTTTTTTAAATGTCATCCCTTATTATTGAAAATAAATAACTTTATTTTATCATGTTTTGAAAATCAGTACAATAATTCCTTATTCTCTATTAATTGTTTTTACGCTTATTTTCTATGCACTAAAACTACTATAGGTGTAACTAAAAAACTATTAGTCCGATAAGAATCTCTATTACATTAAAACGTTTATAATAATATATTTTACAAAATGGCCATATAAATAAATTAAAAAATTGTATATACATTTTTTTTTTTTTAGTGATTAAGGCATGAAAATACAAATTTAACTTTCGTCTTTATATATGTCCTCCTTGCACAAAACCCAAATGAAAAAAAAAAATGAATATTGTTAGAGTTATTATCATAAAATTGTATGCACCCTGTATTTGAATTTACTAACTTTCTCTTCAATAGTTTTTAATGCTTCACTGAGCACTTTATAAGCACATGTTTTGCCGCTAAACGGCATACCCACAATCATAAATCCGTGTCTGACGATCATCATTTCGTAAATTTGTTGAATTTTGGTCAAAAAGAATGGAGTGCATTGGAGGTTTAATTTTTTGCAAGATTTTTCTATTGCATCGTTTAAAATCTGATAGTCTGGTGTTGGCAACACAATACCAGGGAATAAATCCGAAGTTAATCCCTTAAAAAAAAATTAGGTACAAATATATAATTAATTTATAGTTTCATTATTATTAACACGAAATAATTTTATTCTATTAATAATGTATTCTCACTTTAAACAACGGAACGTCGTGTTTGAGAAATTTCGGTAAATTAACGTCATTGATGGAACGTAACATGAGTATATTTTCATCTTCGTCAGGATATTTTAGTTTAAGATTACCGGCTGCCGTTAACACGGTTTTAACGGCTCTCATTCCTGTGAAATATTAGTTTATATACAATATATCTTTTAAATGTTTATAGAGTATTAATATTTCATTATAATTAAATATTATAGACCGTAATCATAATGGTTTTGCGACGAAAGTTGTTCGGAGCACAATTTGTACGTGGCTACGATTTTTACCGATAGCGAACGGGCTAAACTAAATCCTTGCGAGTACAAAACTATTTCGGATATCAAAGCGTAATCAGGTACCATCATGGCGACCGAACGAAACAACGCCTGGAATAAAAGACAACAAACATTATTCATAAACACTAACCATGAACAGCTACCACTTAAGTCACTTAAATAGAATTTTTCTCTGCCTATTATGTATTATTGAAATATCATTTACAAAATAGTAAATAACCGTAGAGTATAATAATAAAATATTGTATATTTTACAATTATATTAATTCAAATAAAACAAAATCTTATAATTTAGCATGATAACGGTGACGGAGAGGATTGAAAATTTGAATCCCTAAAAGACACTGTTGACACTAATGCAATATATACAAAATTAGATACTTTAGCTTCATGTGAGTGTCTGTAGATGGGTAGGTCCAAAGCTAAAAAAGCAATTTCTGGCACATTACAGAACAATAGTCTTTATTTCCGAGGAAATTCGACAATAACTAGCTTAAAATAGAACGAAAATTTAGTAAATCAAACCGTTTTCTAATTTGTGTGTCCGAAAGAAAATTAGCAAATAAATTACTTGACATTTGATTCAATCAAAGATTGTAATAGCTAAAATTTTTGGAATGATAAAAACTCCGGAACACAATAATTCGGAATTTAATATTTAGGACTGTAATATCCGGGCTCTATTAATCCAGAACATAAAAATAATTTGGAACGTAAAACCTCGGACAATAATATCCCGAAGTTTGAAATTCCGGAATAAAATTAAAACTAACGGTTCCCAAATTTTATTATATTATGATAAGTAGATAACCTTTGAGAAAGTCAGGTACTCTATAGTTTTACATTGACATCTATTTATATAATTTTAGTTTTTCTGTAAACACGTAATAAAATGAAACTAAAATTCATCCAATATTTTTCTATTCTCTGAGTTTGGTACCTTAATTTCATACTCGTGCAAATATTTTAGAGACCATAATGGTATTTTTCTGAAATATCACGTTTTGGAAAAGTGCAATGCTAGACCATTTTGTTCCTGGAAGTTACAATTCGGATAATCTGGGATTTATGTTCCGGGTTCGTACAGTCCAAATTATTGTTAATTATTAATATTATATTCCGGATTATTTATTACAGATTACTGATACGGAATATAGGTTGAGTTAAATAATTACTTTCAAATTGTCCGGCAATTCTGAACGTCCAGCATAACCTGGATTCATCGTTATGAATACGGCGCATGTAGGGTCCAGTGTTAAGTTTGACCCTTCGAAAAACAGTTTCGTCTGACCACTCTGTATACCACGTTGAATAGACAATATTTGTTGGGCGACTACCGAAAGGACTTCTAAATCGATCCGGTTGAATTCGTCGAAACATGCCCACGCCCCGCATGAGAGTAGACCCTGCATACAAAAAAGAAATAGTTAACTTGTATAAATCATTCTATCTTTAGGATTACTTTGAAAAATTTCCCGAGACCGATGTAGTCCATGCTATCCGAACAGTTGAAAACCACACATTGTTTTGCCACGGCTTTAGCCAAGTCTTTGGTAGTTTCTGTTTTACCGGTACCGGCCGGTCCTTCTGGCGCACCACCCAAATTCAGCTGCAGAGCGCAAAACAGCGTACGGTAACACCGGTCGGTGAGCGGTGTGATCACTAATCTCGACGAATTTCCCAGGTATTCATAGCCATAAGCTAACGAAGCGTTTATCATGAACGTTACCATATTTTCTTCCTAAATTTAAAACACATAAACCGTGTGTATCCGTCGTCAACATATAAATATAATAAAATAAAACAAAGGCAATTCAATTAATGGGTGATCTGATGGAAGGTTGTTACTAAAACAGTAAGATTATGTTGGATAATGAAACATGATTATAAAATTGCAACATATAACTAATATGTTACCCGATATGATTGACAACTTATTTCTGGCATAAATTAAAAAAAAAAAAAACAAATAAAAGAGATTTTCAAGTGACGTCGTGAGTAGTGATATGAAAGTTCCAAAATATGTCATCATAGATAAAAAAATAACGGATAGGCCATCACAACGAACCAGTACTTTAAAGAGGACATTTTTTGATTTTCTCAGCAGTTTTCTCATCAAATGTGACAAACGTGAAAAAACATGGGAAAACCGGGAAGAACATAAGAAAAAGGGAAAAATCGAAAAATCGGTTATTATACCGAACAAATATTATTAAACAAAATATATAATACCTATTTAATTATTTTATATAATTATACTGACATATCTCTCCTTAGAATTGTTTTTAGTAAGCAATGGTTTATCGTTGCTTAGATATAAATTAATTTTCCCTCTATATCCTACCTTCCCAACTTTTCGCCAACAACAGACGGACTACACCCGTCCCTATTATTTTAATATAGCTTTTTATAGTTTAATTTAATTTTCCAGTTAGTTTAAAATTATTTACCAGTTAATAGTCGTCGAACATTGCTTATCTATTGTGAATACCATATAATATACACATACATAGACATATCTATAAATAAAAACCATAGACATATTAATAAATCGACTGTGCTTTCCTCACCTCCCGTCAATGGTGTTCGTGAACGATATTGAGTTTAGAATAATAGCGATGTAAGGGGCAACCTATGGATGAAATACTTTTAAATTTGTATTTCGCCATGAAATTGATTGTTATTATTTCCATTGTAATAAATTAAATTGATGTGATAAACTAATAAATAATAATAATTTCAGGGTGTAAATTAAAATATCTAATTATTCATTCCATGGCTACCCCTAACTAGCACTATCGCCCTCATTCAATATATGTACCGCATTTCCTTCTCTAAGCGCAGTTAATTTATTAATATATCTATGATAAAAACCTACGTAAACGTATATGACACAGGTCTGCGAAATGTTATGATATTCGGATTTTCCCATTATAAAATGATTGTAAAGTATACACGTTTATCATGAGTTTTCTATAAAGTCCTTAACTTTATAAAGTTATTAAGAAAAAGCAGAGTAAGCATTGTTTAGAGCTTTAGATTAATACAATATTACGTTTTTAGTGTTAATTGTAATGAAATAAATACTAATTTTCCTATTTGATGAAACCAATTTCATGAGTCGTGTTGTGTACATTTTGTCATATTCTAATTAGCCATTGTAATTTTAGTAAAATTCAGACCTACCGAGAAATATCCAAAGTTGAATCGATTTCAACTTTTTCTTGTTTAGGTTGCAATGTTCAATTAATTTGTTAGTGTAATCAACATAATATAATATGTATATAGGAACATGACACGACACGCAACATCTCTGAGATATCGCGTTAAAACTGCTATGAAACATCATTTAGAAAAAAATGATAACATAAATATTTATTCTGGTGGAAATAACATGATAATAGCATTGTGTATTGGAAAAAAGTAACGTATTTTCAAACTTTTAGGCTTTAAAATGTATACTACTATTATGATTAAATATAACTGAATTTCGGAATATGTCCTAATATAGTTTTTATATACCATCCAATAATATCGTAATTGGGAAATCCATCCAAAATCGTTTGTTTTTCGAATGTTTTTGTTCGCCAGATCTTCAACAACATCTTTTGCGTGCACATCGATAACGATCAGGGCTTCTATTTTTTAGGAATTTTATGATTATTTATCTTACTTTAATAAACCGATGTGCAATAATATTTTCATTTTTTTTTTTATTTTTACCTAACGTTAATCGCGTTTGAACCGGTAACACGCCCCGGACCAACTTTATGATTTTTCCGATTTGCCCGTTACATTTGTCCAGATACTTTGACAACCCGTTCGGATGTTGTTTAATCGCTTCTATCATTTCAGTAGTCCAGAATGTAGATGAAACGGCCAGCACTACTTGCCCGGGCCATTGAACTACCCATTCCTGCCTGGCAGTTTGTTGATAAGCTACCAAAGCTTTTCCGATTACCTCGCGGACCGTAATTTTCATCGATTGTTCCAATTCTACTAGCCATTTCTCGACTTGACCTTTAGCCTTAGCTGTGTTTATCTCTATTGATAATTTCACGACTTCCTTTTCACTGGATACCATAGACAAGACCTCCAATTTTTCGGTAAAAACGAGACTAGCAATGCCCTCAAAACATTTTTTCAAATGAGGTTGTACTTTTTTTGGATCCTTGGTCTCCGATAATATTTCAAGTAGTTCGTCATTTGATAAAAAAAAAAATCTCGGAAAATACAGTCTTTTTGTCTCCAAATAATTATTTAAGCCCTTCTGTACCAATTCCAAAAAATCTCTACTTTTTTTTAAGTTTTGTAAAATATTTTCAATATTAACCGAATTTACAATATTCGGTGATTTTTTAATATCTTTCATTAAATTTCTCCAAATCTGAATAAAAATACATTAATTGAGTTTTATTTCTTGTTTAAATCATGAATTTTCATATTTACCTTGTCAACTGCGTTAAATTTTCGCGATTCTTCTGGCATTTGATTCTGTATATCCTGAGACGAAAATATAGACTCCAAGTACATCCACGTAAGTTGAACATTTACCAATAAATCTATTATTTCATTCAAACAATTTAAATTAGCTTCCCATTCTCTAAAAACAAAAAAAAATATCCATTAACTTAAACATTCTATAAGATAAATTATAATAATACAAAATATACATTAATTGGTTTTTAAATGGTTTAACAAATGGAGACGTTTTCATTGTAGCGGTTTTCAATATATGATCGTCTAGTAATATTTGTACATCATCCATACCGGATAAAATGGAAGTCCCGGTATCTCTAAAATATACAATTTAATTGAGTAAAAATAACAAGTTATATACCAGGTGATTCATTTAAGTGGATACTCGTTATTTTAGAGAGTATTAACTTTTTTTCAGAATTTTATTTTAGAACATTTAAGAAATAAACAGCTTTCCAATTTTATAAATAAGTTATTTTATGTCACTATTATTTTCGAGGGTAAAATCACTACCGACTTTTGATTTTCAAATGGCAATCTATATTAAAAATCCCATAAATATATCGAGTATTATTTAAATTTTAAACGAGATATACCACTTCATTATTAATACGGCACGCGCCGTACCGCCACACAAATGATACTCCACTACTCTCCTCCAATCCAAACTTAAAAGACTGACAGACAACGAACTGACAGAAATCAAAAATTTTAACAATAAAATTTATTTTAACTAATACTCCATAAATTTATGGAATTTATAATTTGGATTGCTATTTGAAAATCAAAAGTAGATATTGATTTTACCCCCAAAAATAAGTGACAAAAAATAACTTAATTATAAAATCGTAGAGCTGCTTGTTTCCTAAATGTAATTGCAAACAAATTCTAAAAAAATTTAATACTTTCCGAGATAATGAGTATACTCACTTAAATGGATCACCTGGTATGACCATGATGAGGCCAGTCATTTTGAACGGTCCCAACGTCTGTTTAATATGATAGAAATTATAAAGATAAGAATGATATAAGACAGTTATAAACCATACAATTTAGTGGAAACATAGTTCTATGGTAAGAGCGAAATTTGACTTAGTACTCAGTAAAAAAGACGAAAAGACTTTATAAAAAGGGACGTACATTTGATGGATCAGATAAAATATTTAAGAGAATCAGTTGAAAATTGAGAGTCTACTCTTCCCTTGAAAAATAAAAAAAAATGTAAATAATATTCATTATAATAAATAAACGTATAAATAAATATAATAATGAGTTTGAAAATAATAATAATGCCAAGCTGCGAGTATTTTCAAACATATAAATTTTATTATTTTCGATTAAAAGTTTAAAACATCAAGAAGTGAAAGAAAAACAATAGATTCTTCCCTCTGAATCTAAAAAAATTCAAAGGGATCTAAGTATATATATAATGTAAAATTTGCATTATTTTCATAAAACATTTATAATATTTTGTATAGATGTACCTACTTATACATTTGTTTATATTATATTATTTTATATTTAATGCTAAGGTACTTGTAGTCTGATATGGAAAAGTTGATATCTCGCCATTCTCCCATCATACCATTTAACTTCCTCTCCAGATTACTTTCTTTGGTTGCTCCGTCGCTGATTAATTCGAGTTGGGCTGTAAACTTCCTGAGGTTCAAATTTAAAATCTGTTCTAACTTTAAATTTTGATTGGAATGTATATGAAAATTGACGACATTCGAAATCGCTTTCCAATGACGGTCTTTCAGACCTAAATTTCCTAGAGTTAATATTTCCGGAATTCTCGCTTTAAACAATTCCATCGACGATCGTATCTGTTTTTTTTTTTATATGAAAATAATATATTTATATTATCGTATTTTAATAATTATCCATTTCATAAATAATAATATATAAATGATTCTATACTTTTCCAGTGGAAATATTTATATTATGAATATACCTAACCCGGCCCCGAGCTCCTACTGATAAAAATCTCCCCACCTTCACCGAATTCGTTTATATATATATTGGTTATTTGGGTATAATTTATAATTTTAAAATAAAAATAAGATAGTTAATAAAGACAGTTTTTCCGTAAGTTTTATTTGGTATAGGTACTCTATGGATAAAATTGCTATACTAAATAGAAATGCTTGAAAATTTAACATGTGGTTCATTATAAGTCACACCTAGTGGTTAAATATTTTTTATACGAATTTTAAAATCAAATTTTGACGAAAATCGTAAATGTTACGGCCATTTAAAACATGTAAAACTGAACCTCACTCCTAATCATTTTTCGTTAGTTACAGGTATAATAAATAATTTTTTGTATCCTACCTTCCAAACTACTCACCTATAATAATGACCGCACCCATCCTCAGAACCAGCTCTTTTTTTACATTATGGATATGGATAATATGACATGTTAATTTTGTTTTTAATAAGGTAATTAGGAATGGGTAAAAGAAAATACCAAGACTTCAGAAATACTTTATAGCATTTAAATGCAGGTATTATATATAATTATATGCGTAGATATTATAGATATACACATGATCAATATAATATAGAGCACTCTTTATCTCGGAAAGTATTAACTTTTTTCGGTATTTGTTTTTTAGAACATTTAAGAAATAAGTAGCTATAAAATATAATATTATTTTTTTGTCTCTCTTTTTTTTAAAGGTGAAACCACTACTTACTCTTAATTTTCAAATGGAAACTAATACTAAAAATTCTATAAATATTCAGAGTATTAGGTTAAGTCAATTTTGTTGTTAAAATATGCCAAGATATTCCATTTTCAAATTTTGGGAGGAATAGAGTAGTGGTTTACAATTTGTATGGCAGCACAGCGCGTGCTATTTTAATAGTGTTCCACCACTTTCCAAATACCTGAATTTAAATGTGGAATATCTCGTCAAAGATCTTAATAGTCTTAGTCTGTGCCAGAAATCCAAAAATAATAATTGATATACAAAGTGTGACTATTTGAAAACGGATTTCTGGCCAATAAAATCTTGAGATAAGATTAAGTTGTTTGTAACAAGAGAGATATGGACTATAAAGATTTCTGCATTAAATTATATCTTTTTATTTGTTTTGGTCTTTTAGTTTGCGTTTACGTGTTATTTGAATTAGAAGTTATAATACGATATTGCCGGAATTATGCTGAGTTTAAAAATCGAACAATGCGTTAATTTAAAATTTCCTGTTATATTAAAAAAAAGTCTCTGACGGAATGTTTTAAACTGTTGATTGGGGTGTATAGAAGGTAACTATATAATGGTACTTTAGTTTTTGAATGGCGTAAAATGTTTAGTAAGGCTTTGGAAGCAGTAGACAATGACAAACATTCGAGTCGTCCTAGCACATCGAAAACCGACTGAAAACCGAAACAAATGATTGAATAAATGCTTCAAAGTCAAATGGTAAATCAAAAATACTCTATTAAAGTCCTGATTAAACTTAGAGAAAGAGTGTGAAAGAAAAGACCAGACTTGTGGAAAAACATTGTATGGATTCTGCATCAAGACAATGCTCCAGCACACAATGAATTCTCCGTTAAGCAATACTTGGCTGATAAACGCATACCAATACTCGAACATTCCCCGTATTGACCAGATTGACCTAGCTCCATGCGACTTTTGTTCATTCCCCAAACTAAAAATTGCTTTGAAAGGAACTCGATTTAAAACTTTAGAAGAGATGAAGACAAAAACGGTGGATAAGGCCCGACATATGGCAACTTGCAGCATTGCTTTTAACAATAAAAGACACGTGTGCAGCGATGTATAGGTAGAGATGGAGAGTATATAGAAGGGGATCATAGTTAAATTAATAATTTTTTTTAAAATTTACTATATTTTTATCACAAATCCCGGTTTTAAATAGCCACACCTCGTATACATAGATAGTAGAAGACTGGATAATCATCTTACGTTGTTGATCATCCTGTAGATATTGTTAAAAGGTAAAATGTAGAATGGGTAAATCTAGCGTTCCACGCACTATTAAAATATGTAAATCCAAGATTTACTCAATACGAATATTGGACAAAGCTTAAAATGTAATAAGACTAACACGTTAGCGAATGAATACGAGATATGGCTGATCATTACACAAATTAAAAGAAGATTAAACACATTAAAAAATAAAATAGCGAGATTAATATGTAATGCGGCTATTGATGTTGAAAATACAAAATGACGTAGCAGGAAAAATAAGGAACTAATAAGATACTCAAATTATCTTAAGTAATGCATTTTATTATGGTGCAAACTGAAATGGTTTGAACATACAATGTACTACAGAAAAAAGAAAGACAGGTTCACAAAAGCTACTTACAGGAGACCAACATGTATAAATAGCTAATGGATTCACATAGAAATCGTTGGTTAGACGGAATTAAAGAATACCTGGAGAAAATGGGAAATATTGGTTAGGGTGAAATATATTAGAGATAAATGAAAGATAGTTGTAATTACAGGTAAAGATTTTGAAGAGTTGTCAAGCTGGAAATTATTTGAAATAGATAGAATTGTAATGAATATACAATCAAATTACCGTCTTTGCGATACCCAGCGGAGCGGGGTTGTTCATAAAACTACGTTCGAGTTTAGTTATGTTACGATAGTAGACGTTTAAATCTAAATCGATTTGTTCGGGGTCGTACGTGCCGATTTTACTACTCATCCATTTTGAATGGTTTGCAATAAACTCCGAACAATTGTCGTAAAGTTGTTTGTATGGTGCCAAAGTATTGGCAATCTAAAATGTAAACAAATTTTTAATTGCATAATATATACAACACAGAGTGATATATTAAACAATAATATTTTCTATTTACGACTTTTCGAAGAGGATACGCAGTTTCTTTTAATTCAAAATATTTTTCCTCTTTATTCAACTCTTCAATGGTAACTAAAGCTTCATTTAATTTATCATTCAAGTATCGAGATTTTTCAGAATATTTATTAATATCACTCGCATCGCCATAGTTTACAAATTCGTCCACTTCTGTTTTGTAAACGTTTAGTTGAGCTTTGAACATAGCCGTACGTTCCAATAATACTTTTTTAAATAGTTGCGTTTTTTCTTTAATCATTTTAGCACTGTCCAATAACACCGTGGTTACGTGGCCAACCGATTGGAATGTTTCCGTGTTTTGTTGCAGTTCTTCGTTCGTAAACTGTATGAAATCCATCAAAAATATTTCACATAACAGCACCCCGGCCGTTCGCTCTTTTATATCCGGCAAAACTGTATTTCTCGTGTTTGTAATAAAATTTACTATCTTTATTAGTTCGTCAGTATTCTGTGGGGCCGTCAATATTACATCGCACAGATCAACACACTGTTTGTTCAGCCTAGACATAAATATTTAACGAAGTTTAGAATCAAACGTATTTTAATCAATATTTAGATAGATAAATATACTTTTTTCCAATATCAGCGTAGGTGGACTTCATTTTAGCGATAATTGCGTCTCTAAATTTATCAGCTTGTTTACGCAAAATGTTGATGATACCAGTGAAATCAAACGTGAATATTCCTATAGTTTCTGTTGAGTTAATCTCACTTGGTATATCCGATGAAATTTTGTCATACTTAATTACGTAACGTTTATATTCATCCAAAGTATGATCGGTGGATAAAAATACAATCACGTCATTTTTGGCCACTCCGTTGATTAAGTAAAGTAATTTGTTGGTTTTTTCTATAAACGACTTTCTCTGTTCCCATAAACCATCCAAGTTTTTCAACAATTTGTCAATGTTCGTGTCAATAATTTCACGGTTGTCGAAATTAATCTCAATTAGAAAAAATACAAATTAAAAAAAACGTAATAACTTTACACCATTGTTCCATCTTTGCCATTGATATCGATTAAAAGTTGATACGGTATAGAATAGTGGATAATTTAGTTTAAATACAGAAAGCAACAGTTAATTATAAAAATCAAAAAAAAATTCTAAGTAATGCTCGGTAAACTGGTAAGATTACAATATTATAGCCGGTGATTAGTCAAAATATCTCCAGGTAAGAATTTTTTTATTATAAATATATTTTTCCTTGTAATTATAATTAAAATGTAATAGATTGTAAACATATTTCTGTTTATTATTAAAAAATGTATTGTTGTGTTATAAAATATAATTTAATCATTCAATTTGAATGTATTATTATTAAAATATATGTGGCCCACAACAACTTCTACTCATATGATGTGGCCCAGTCTTCACAAAAGTTTGGACACCCCTGGTTTAAACGGATATAAGAATACCTTTACAGTTTATTGCTAGCCCAAAAGGCAAACATTTATTTCTACATAATGGGTAGATGTTGCATTCGAATGCATTTAGCGTTTATACTGAGTACAAAAAATAAAAATGTACAACATATTAATATATTAAATTTCAACAAGAAATAGTTATTATTACGAGTATATTATGAGTATATTATTTCAAGTTATTAGATAATTATCTATGATAATATAGATTATTAAAGATCCAAACAGTTTTCACAATAAATAGGAAAAAGCGTAGGAAAAACGGGAAAATTTTAGAAAATTTAGAGGGATTGCCCACAACCTTAAACAGTAACATGAAAGCTAATAAGATCACCAGCAAACCATTTTCAGCGAAATACCTCCACATTCTATCCAGAGTAAAACTTAATACTCATCTATTTTTCCGTCAGGGTTAACTGAAATATTTTGGTTTATGTTTATCACTAGGGTTCAAATTTGAAGGCAAAAGCCTTTTTCTTAAGAATAATAATAGAAAAATAATTTTTATATTAAAATGTATGTCATTTAATATGTAAGATGAACGTATTTTTGTTTGCCTTTTTTACTTATAGATGCCTTTCTACCTTTTTCACTTATAAATGCTTTTATTGTGTTTAATTTTTAATTGATTTGATAGTTTTATACACGATATAAGTATTAATGGTGAAAACCGATACAATTTTCTAAAGACTGTGCATTGTCGTCTGTCAATTACTTTGAATAGGTTTTTTTTAATGAGTTTTATTATCGGCGATATTTATCGATATCGCTAAATACTTTATCGAGTATTTAGTTTGGTCAGTTAATTTAATGTTTATAAAAGTACCCATATTACCTATTTATAGAATAAAATATGTTCATATTACGCATTCGTCAACCATAATTTTTGTTTAATAATTTACCCACGTTTATTTTATTAATTTGTTTTAATATGCCGAAAGTTAAGCAATGTAAAAATTCTAGGTTAAAAAAGTATATTAAAGAATTCGGCGAAAATATTTTTTTTCACTCGATGGATTAATTTTATATTGCAAAATTTGTGACGTCAAAGTATCAATTGAAAAAAAATTTTATATACAGCAACATATCGGAAGAGATAAACACAAAATAACGTTATCAAAAATTGAAAATAGTGCAATCTTTCATTCATACAAATACCATTAAGTCATATTTCAATTACGATTTGTGTAATGCGTTAGTTGCGGCAAATATCCCTATGAATAAATTGAACAATGACGTTTTAAATCTTTTTTGACGAAATATTGAAATAAAAATATTACATGCGAATCAACATTACGAAAGGATACTTTGATAAATGCTACGAAAAGGTTCGTTAAAAATTCGCGATGCTGCAGGTGAATATAAAATATGGGTATGTATTAACGAAACCACACATTCAGAATGCCAAAACATGGAGAACGTAATAGATGAAATTCTAAAACCAGAAAGTCCAGGAAATTTGTATTTTCTTCACACAGACTATTTAGATAAGGTAAATAGTAGTATAATTACACAGCTATTTGTCAAATCAATGCGTATATTGTGGCTATATGTAATAATGTAAAATACGATAATATTTATCTAACGCGGCTCCTTATATGAAGAAAGCGAATCGTTCAATTCAAACTTTATACCCGAATATTATTAATTTAACTTGTTTAGCTCATACATATCATAACGTCTGTGAAGAAGTACTAGCACGTTATAAAAATGTAGACCATTTAGTTTCTTAAATGAAAAAGAAACTAAGAAACTTGCAATTCTGAATGCAAAATATCCAGGATTGCCAAATCTGTCAAGATCGGCAACTACACGTTGGGATACATGAATTAATGCCATAAAATACTATTGCACAAATTTCAATAAACTGAAATCAATTGCTGAAGAATTCGAAGAAAATTCGGAATGTGTGAGAGTAGTAAAAATCATTTTTGAAATTCCATCGATGCAAAGTAATCTGGTGTTTATTGCATATTCTAATTTTGAATTTTTGCCTGACACAATTACACAACTAGAAAAACGAGGTAACAAATATTATTTACCTATATGTTTATATATATAAATTATATTATATATTATATAGGTAAACCCTATATATTAAAATATACTGTTTGTGTTTTAGGTGTATTATTATCGAAAAGTGTAGATATTTTGAATAAATAATATACAGATTAAACTCGAAGAATGTAACGACGAAGATTTTTTTTTCAGTACAAACTATATTAGTTAAATATTTAATATACAAACTATTTAATGTTTTAGTAATTTGTTTTTTCATAAAAAAATTAAATGCTTTTTTTTCGACACTTTAAATGCATTTTTATTGATTATATTGCCTTAAATCCGAACCCTATTTGGCTATTTATCACTATATGGCTGGCATATTATAGCTAACAAAAAAAAGATTTTCTATTAAAATATTGAATATATATTTATTAAAATGAGAGTTAAAAACAATTTTCAAACATTAAAAGCTTATAAATAGTTAATAATTCAATTAAACTCTCATGAAGTCTGTCATACGAGTACAGGGAGAGTTAATTTTGATGCTCACGCCAGTCGACTTGTTAAATTTAATTTTAATAAAATAATAAAAAACAAAATAATTATTTTTTTTTTTTAAGTTCAATCGAAATTTTATTATATTTTTTTTAAGAGGGATTGCTCACAATCTAAAATTAAATGTAATAAAAAATATTCCCACAAATCCTAGAGATTTTTTTTAGGAAACATTTTGTCTATAAAAGATATTTTGTCAGAGATATTTGTTTGTAGATATTTTGACCTGAAACCATTGTAGCCAAGGAGGGTAACTCAAAAATCAAAAAAAGTGAAACCAGTGGTATCGCTATATGTTGTCAGGAATATAAAAAAAAATAATGTTCAAATAAATCACTACCGGGGAATTAATCCGCGTATTTTAAGGTATGCATGAACAAAAACTGAGCATTTGTAATAAACAAAACCCCTTGGTTTTCTGAAGAAAGAAAAATATATAAAATAGCTTTTTTCTACACGACTACACTCAGAATCTAAAATGTATAAACATTATTTTTTCGGCAAACAAATTTTTACTGCATTTTTACAGCTTATGTAAATAAATATAGTCTTACTTGCAAATATTTCGTTGTATGATAATTTTCGTGTAAGCGGTGTTCAATACGCATTACATTAGACGGTATTTCTTCGATCATCGTATAAATCGATATAATGAAATCCCTTAATCGCTCGTATAGTGGTAAACATTGTAGTCTTGAGTTACGGTACACTATCTTAGTCATGAAACCCGGATATTTCTTATTCGTCAAAACAACATAATGAATTAACACATAGGATAAATTAAAAACGATTGATGGATAAAAGAACATTTGAATCGTATTGGAATAGATAAAAAGCAAAAAAAAAACAAAACAAAAAGTTGTTCGTTATTAATAATCCATTAAGATCCATTAAGACATTAAATTGTACATAACTATCAATTATTAAAACTTAATATACAGAGTATAATAACTGCAGGATTTGTGATTTCGAAAAAATAATCAAATAATTAAAATACAATTATTTTTCTTTTTGATAATATATTTGCAAAAATAATTTTTCTATACAATTTGTATCCATGCATGTTGAATTACTTAAAAAATTTAGTTTTAAATTATAATTAAATTCCATTTTTTTTTACTTTTAAACATGAATCTATTAATAATAATATCTATTAATGGAAAAATAATTCCAATTACAGTTTTATACAATTAAAATGTATAGCTATCACATATGTATAATAAATTACAATAATTCACTAATCAGAAAAAATTAATAAAGAAAGAAAATACATGATATACAAAATTTCAAAGTAAAACTACATAAAAAATAAAACAAACTTTAACTTATTTATAGTTTATTTGTTTTAACATATTAATTTTCTCCTATTATTTTAATATATATTTGTGGTTCTTAGGACCTGAACAAAGCAATCTGTTAAAGGTGTATTGAGAAAATCAATTTTCTCCATGAATTACCAGCCGACATTAGAATATTCGACGGCAAATTTGACATATAATATGTGTTTACATTATCATATAAAATAAGTTTTGTATTCTAACAATTTTTTGAATTGATTTTAAAATATATATTCTGAACTATTTCAGTGCAATCAATCATATTATTTATTAATTTGTGTACAAATTTTAGTTTTATTTGAAGAAAACGGTTTTCAAGCGTCAAGATATTAAAAATGTTTGATTTTACCTCATAGCCTAAATGTAGAGTTTTTAAGACAAACATTGAAAACATAAGAAACGAATAAAATTAGTTTGAATTTTTTGCAAACTTTGTATGTAAGTTTTTAAATATGGATTGCAGATAAGAACTGCATAATCCAATTGAGGACGGACAATAAACTAATATATAGTTTTTAATGCAAATTCATCCGTAAAGTATACACACGTGCGTTTTAAAAACCTAATTTCGCAAACGCTTTGTTTCTAATAAAATGTATATGGTTATTAAAAAAAGAGTTTTACATCAAACCAGACCTCAAGGTCCTTAACTGTGGATACTTTTGATAAATTAATATTTGCTAAAGAATAATTAAACTGAATTGTCGTTCTTTTCAAAAAAAAAGTAACTGTGGAAAATTTTTTCAAGTTTAAATGCAAATCATTATTTTGGTAAATTAAAATCACCAAACAATAAATTAGTTGCATTTTTAAATTTTTTACATAATATCTCAACAGTAATAAAATGTTCTTTAAATAATATTTCATTAGATTTAATAAGCACATACATAGACCCGATACTAAAAGTGAGATTAGATTTTTTTATCGTTACGAATAATAATTCAATATTACTAATTAATATTATTACATGTAATGTGATTTTGATTTAAAATAATATTATCAATGTCGAAGAAAAAAACAATGCACTGATAATAATTATCAATATCAAATTTTAGTATCTAAAAAAAAAATAATAATAATTATCCGAATATTTTCTTTATATTTTCTTACCTCAGGGTCACACATTGATTCCGTGAATTCTACATTAGTTTTAAGAACGAATTCTTTGTAATGTTTTTGCATGAGATAGGCGATAAAATCGTAAAAAGCTGTCTGAGTTTTCGTATCGTTTATCGTCGACAATTTATAATTGTATTTTTTCTAAAAATGTTTAAGTTATACAAGCTTAAAATTAAAATTTAGCATGTTTGATGCTGTTTAATGCTAATTAGGTTAGGTATATATTACATTTTCAAATATTCGTTTCACACAATCGAACCATTTATCTAGTAACTTATATCTGACGGCCGATAACTGCAATAAAATCAATTTTCTAAACTCGAGTATTGAAAATCTCATGTCTTTATATTGTCTTTCGTTAAAATTTAAAAAAATCGTTTCTCTAAAAAATACGTAGATATTAAAAAGAATACATGACAAGTACATAGAATATAGTTTCTCCTTTATTTAAAAGTAATTAAGGTCACTAATCTTATAACCAAAACTGAATTTAGGATCAAGACAGACTTGAAAATGGGCACTTTTATATGAATTTTGTGAGCATTTTAATACTATACTTTTAGATACGTATTTTTCTAAACTAATATCTTCGTTTCATTTTTAATTTTAAAATAATAATAAAAAAAAGTTGATAATGGGGATGGGAGTGGCCACTGTTGTAGGTGAGAAGTTGGAATGGCAGGATACATAAGGTTATGTCATTTATATCTGTAAGTAACGAAAAACCATTTATTGACGAAAGACGATTTCGAGCGCAGTTCGGTAATACATAATTTGAAGTATTTTTTATGTGATTTTCGTTTAAATTTGATTTCAAAACGTTTATTTAAAAAAAAAAATCGTTCGATGATTTCGGAAATTTTACTAGGTAAGTCAAATATAAGTATTATTACCAAGTTTCCAATCTCGAAGTGTATTTCTAACCGAATTACAGCAAAAGAACTTCCAAAAATTAAAATTCCTTAAAATCTCAAAAGTGGCTTAAAGTTCTGCAGTTAAAGTAAAAAAGTAAGAAAGTAAATCAAAAAGTCAATAAAAAATATATCTCGTGATTTTATGATTAAATAATTTTTTTCTGTTGGAAAATGTCGTCCGTGTTTTTATAAAATAATGAAATGGTGAAATTGTACGTTTTCCTATGTTTTTTCCTACTTAAGTACTTTTATTTAAAAAATGGCGTCAAAAATCAAAAAATGGCTTATTTAAAGTACAATATAGTAAACTTGAGCTTTCAGAGAAGGTGTTACACGTACAAATCTTAACAAATTTACTAGGAAAAAACGTGTCCACCGACTAGAAGAAAGAAAGAAAGAAAGAAAAAAGGAAGAAAAAAAAAATAAACATCTTAGGAAAACCAATAGCTCGCTCGCTACGCTCGGAGTTTATAATTAATGTCATTAATGTCAATTGTTATACGAGTACCTATATGATTAAAAATAAAATGTTTTAATAATGTATTTTATTTTAAATATGAAATAATAACTATAATTTTTGTTGTTTTACTATCGATTAATTACTTAAGTTATAAAAGCTCTTCGGTAAATATAAACAAAAATTATCAAATATGCCTTCAAAATGTACGAAATCCTAAAATACCCTTTAAAAATGCAAAACAAACATTTCATGTTTATGAGTTGTACGCCATTCAAAACATTATAAACTAGCAATTTTTTATCAAACAATATAAATGTACAAAAACATTAATAAATATTATTTTGGATCATCAAAATGTTCCATCATACAGTAGATACTCACCTAAAGTCTTTATACCATGACGCGATCATTTTAACAATGATCGGATTTAATTGTTGTAGATTTTTCTCAATGCTCGATTTTGCGAATTTTATCGATTTGGCCCATAACGGGTTATTTTTTCGTATTTCCGCTCTGAATGGTGAGTTTATTGACGAAAAGTCGTCTTGAGGTTCGTACAAATCGATCGATCCTATTCTTACTATCACATTTTTCGACCAACTTAAGTACTCCTAATAAGTATATAAATATTATTTTGTTTAAAATTGTATATTATATATAATCATACAGTTATATATAGTTAAAGTAATTTTTTTTTACCACTAAACTAAAGGTCCGTGATGTTAGCCACTACCCATCAATATTTTCTAACTAAATTTTCCCAAAAATATGTAAGTCATCCCTTCTTGAATTATCCCTGAAAATTAGAAGTGGTAAATAATGTTTGTTGTTCAACTATAATACAAACAAATTGTACAAAAAAACAAAAAAGTTCGGAACTTATTCTTCGACTAAAGGACTTATTTATCCCTAAAAAGAAGTTGGCTTTGCTTTTTAAATTTTTAATAATTTTATTAATATTCTATTAATTTAACTAAATGTAACCATATAATCATATTGTTAAATAATAACACTAATAATAGTATAATTTCATTCTCACCCACTATAGTGTTTTAGTATACAATATATTAAAATATTCGTGGGTTTTAACTATCAAAATAAGCCTAGTTTTACATGAATATAATACGTTAAATTTTAAAATTATCAATGAATAAAAAGTTGAAAAATGGGTACTACTAAGCTGTACAGTGTTAAGTTAAAGGCTACTGCAATATAATTAAATTAAATTAATTTGAATTAAAGGATATATCATTGTTTTAGATATTATAATTATATTAAAGATAGACAAATGAAAAATAAAATTTGTCTCAGACTTCCTTTATTTTCACTTTTTAAACATTAGCTTTGTATTGATCTAACTGCACTGATACTGAACCTAAATTAAACATAATGTATAAATATTAAAAGTAAGTTTATTCTGTGGTAAATTGTATGATCTTTAATTTTGGCCATAGGTATCTTTAATAATTGACGAGTTGTAATCGAAATCAGTGAAAGGAACACATGCCAATTTCGAGAGGGTCAAGGGGCACAAGGGATAGGTGTAAGGACTTTTAGTATGTTTATAAATGTAGTGTAAACTGCTTCTGTACCAAAATTCAACTATCGAGGAATTAATTCCGAACTTTGTCGTTTTTTTGTCCACTTTGACTGGATTATTATTGTAGAATAACAAACACTATTGACCACTTCTACTTTTCAGGGATAATCCAAGAAGGGATGAATAAAAAATTGTGGATTTGCGCTTAAAAATACTTACAAATAGTGTAAAACATTTTCGCTGGGTTAAAAATTTGGAAATGGCAAAACGGCCAAGTTTCACGGAAGTTAGTCGTGAAATAAGTTTTAGTGGTTAATTCAAAACGACTAATCTTACAAATTTCAAATTGTTGCTTACAAATACTTACAAAGGCTTACAATTTTTCGGGAAAATTTGATTCAAACAACTCTCGCAATTATTCAAAATAACTATAGATATTGGTTTTGTTTTTTTAATGTTTTACTAATGAGTTAAACTTTTTGTGAAATTCACGACATTTGTCATAGTTTTTGACTTTATCCCAATAGCCAGACAAAGAGGTGTTGAACAATTGAACCCATTGAACAATTTAAAGCAGATTTTGAATATGTTCACATTATATAGGTATTATAATTAAATGAATCGATGTCTTTTTCTCCTTCGATTTTATCCCAACTATTTAGGATCAACCACTCTCGTCCTAAACTTTCATTTAAGCCGATCTCCTACATCATTTTCGCATACACCTTCTCTTCACATATCATTCTTAATTCCATCCAACCACCTTTTTTCGTTCTTCCACTCCTCCTACGTTTATTTGTAGTACTTTATTACAATTCTTACTGCTTCTGTTTCCCTACTACCCATGACATGCCCAAACTATCTTGGTTTATTTTCTCTTATTATATTATTATCTTATATTATTTTATCGATTCTGTCAGACTATTTTATATTTGGAAAAAAGATACATTAATTCCGCCAGTATAGACTTTGTCAGTACAGGTAGTCTAAAAATAGCCTATACATTTATTAAAAAGTCATTAAATTTTAATTAATTATGTAACTAATAGTTTTGGAAATGATAACTCAAGCAGAGGTATTATGTAATAGATAATAAAACGGATATTTCAAATATACTTAATACTTATACTATTCAAATAGCTATATAGTAGTATATTAGAGTTTTAATCATAAATACTGACTTGTTATTGCTAATATTTGGATAATCTGAATGTGAATAATGAAAAAATTGAAACGCGTACAACTAATATTATTTTCCTACAGTGACCTATACTAATCAGTAAGTGCTGAATTCTTGTACGCTATTGTTCTCACCGATATTCTCGTGTTCTTAAATTTAATTTTAAAATTTTAGCTGGTGAACGAGAAAATAATTTAGTACTCCATAAAAATAAAAATTTTTTTAAAACAAACTAATTTTTAACAAATACATATATGTATTATATTATATAATATATTGATTATTATTATTATTATTATTTTTTTTAAATTATATTTTGATTTGGCTTCCGTAATTATGATTAAGTTTAAGTAATAATTACGATATAACTTGGTTTTATACTGTAAGAAACATATTTTTTTTTAAATATTTTCCTATAATAAATAATATACGAGTAAATAAATTTTAAATAATACCTATAGGTATGTATTACTAAAAACTTAAAATGATTTGAAGTGTTGTATTATAATTTATATTTTATCATTATGACATTATTTGTTACATTATATTATGTATATTGTGGTTAACTATATCATTTTTTTATGTTACATATACTTGAGTAATTATTAGTTACATAATTAAGTCAAAATATGTAAGTGTATTTTTTATTAAAGTTAAGAAGCAAAAATGATAAATAAAAGTAAAAATGTGTAGATGTCGGAATCCATAGGTTGTTTTAGATCATCTGTACTGGCGGAATCTATGGGCATGTACCAGTTGCCCTCAAAGTACTTTTTTTTACCAATTTCTCCCAAATTATCTAGAGTAAAATTTACCTTTTGCCCTCAATATATGATAATATGTGTGCCCACAATAAAACACCTCTTTTTTTCGCCTCTTACGACATGCAGACTGCAGAAGTACCGTGATAGTATTCTGACCCCTCCTACGAGGTAATAAAATTAATCAATATAAAAATATAAAATGCTATACTTGTGGTTAAATATCTAACTTGATTAATAAAAAAACAAATAATACAATTTGAAAGTATAAATTATAGTTAAGTATTATTTAGTATAATGCATATTTGAAATGTATACTTAAAACAACGATCAAAGGTTATTATGGAATGAAAATACATACTTTGTCTACAGAAAATTAAATTATTATTATTAATAACGGAATTTTTTTAGTTCATATAATTACGATCATAATATTTTTACAATATTCAGTCGTACTTACGTTCATCATTTCAACTTTTAACGTTGAAAACAAGTTCATTTGTTGATATTCTTTCGGTATACGATCGATGATTCTTTTCATCATTCCCTTTCCAATCGGTGTATACAATTGCGTATCGATTTGTATACCATACTTGATAAAGTAATAGTACTGGATCAAGGGATCTTTGAACCTTTGCTTTGCGGGCAATAAGTGTTCAGCGTAATTTAAAATCATATTTCTACGGAATTTTTCCCGTTCCATACGCTCCTCGGTCGCTTTATTCTGAAAATAAAAATGACATAATCAATAAACAGATTATAACTTGTTGCATATATTATACTAGCTGTCCCATACCTGGTGTTGCCCGTGCCAATTTTTTTTTTTTACCCATATTAATTTTTGATTTTGACCGTGGTGTTATAATTGAATGAAAACAAATAGGTGGGAAGTGGGTGTCCACCTTCGGCGGCTTAAAAGTGTTTTATTGTGAAATGTTCTCATAATTTTTCTTATAAAAAAAATCTAAACACTAAATATTTTTTTTTTTTTTTTTTTGGGGGGGGGGGGGATGATGGATTTCAATGAAAGGGAAGTCTTACCTATTCTATCAGGAAGTGGAGACGTTCGACAGTGGGAAAATGCATGTACCGTATTATAGTAGTCACTCGAAGATGGCCGCGGCACAGCGTTCGTTTTATACCTTATATGCGTACTTGCCGACAATTTATATTAATATAAAACTAATAATTCGATTGTTAATCTATGTGAATAAAAAAGCAGACATAGCACGATTGGTAGGCCATTTTTATAGGTTAGAAGTTTGGAAGGTAGGATATAGAGAGGAATTTAATGTAAATCTGTATACAATTATTATTAGTTATAACAATATTAATCTTTGCAGACGAAAAACGATTCTGAGCAGAATTCAGTTAAATATGATTTAAAAGGTCGTAATATTTGAAATATTAGAAAATAATACATTTTCCCGTTTTTTCTCATTTATTGAACCGGAAATTCTTTCCAATCTAACCTAACTTTATAAAGGTAGACATTTTTCTGAAAGGAAGACTGTCTGGGTTAGTACTATAAGGTCATGTTTTGATTTTCCTGAGTTTTTATAATAAGTGGGAAAAACAAATTGGAAAATCAAAAAATGATCTCCCCAAGTTACTATGAAGATAAAATTTCTATTCAGAAAATTATTTAAAATATTATTGCTATTCATGAATGGAATAGATTATAATTCTCAAATATTACCACGATGATATACAGAAAAACGAATTAGATTTATTATTATTTAAAGCAAATAGATTATTATTCAATTAAAATAAGAAGTCATAAAAATAATATCCGTCCGATCAAATTTCGGAATCATAATAATATATTGTATCAAAAAAAAAAAACTAAGGTGATGATTAGACATAATCGGAGGATAGATTATAATGTTTGAACCGTTAATTAAAGTTGAGGACCACGGGGTGGCCCAGTAGACTGAAAAAAAAACCTAAAGAAAAAATAATAATATATTATATTATATTGTCAAAAATAAATATTTCATATCCCAAAACGCCCGCCAAAAAGATGGTACTAATAAATATCCATTACCAAGTAACTAAATTTATTTTTTTATTATTAGATACATACAGTGGTGTATTTAAAGGAGCCAAGTGGGAAAATTTCCGCGGAAAGCATTTTGATTTTGATTCCACTAAAATTGGTTTAGTGAAATTTTTTTTTTTGAAAACAAATTTTTACTTAGGCAAATAAATGTCAACAAAATATTCTAACAATATCAACATAATTATTCTGTGTAATTAAACCTCCACGTCTAATAATACGTGCACTGAGCGCAATATTGGTTTTTCAAATACCAAAACTAAACATAATATCTTGTGGGCCATAATGTTAGTAACATACATCTGTTGTTCACTAAGTGATAGTGTGATATCGAATTACCGACCGTTAATTTTGTATTTTCTTTGCGTATTGTTAAACTATAAAAGTGACATTATTTTCGTTTAATGGCGTGTTAAAATATTTTAGTTTTTAAAATAATGTAAGTTTGATGCTAATGTAAACGCTTTAATTGATTACTTTGATAAAAAATAAATTGACACTTTTTAGTCATATTCATCTGACTATCTAAGTGAGTAGGAGTATATATTTTTAATTACCTAATCTACATGGTATTGTGTAGTGTCATCTTTAAATTACTTGAAACTTTAAGCATGAGTTAGAACATGCTTAGAACTTTTTTCAATTAAATAAATATATATTAGTTTTTAATATATTCACTATTTCATAAATAATACCTAATACGTAATAAAAAATATAATAGTATACATACTACAGAAATTTAATACTTATTCAAATAGTATTTGCATATTTAATAGTATTATTACATAATTGTCTAGGTCCATGCAATAATTGTAAGCATAATTTTTTTTCGAAATGCTTAGATATTTTTGTGATCACGGTTGAGAGTACCTACGATTTTCAACATTCTGGGGTATTCAATAGATTTGTATACTGTGCGGTACTATTACTATATTACATGTTTTGTTTGTTTTTTTTTTTTGTGGGTTAGTAAAATTGGTATTATAAAAAAATCCACGGGGGTTTTAAAAAAAATGTGTATCCAGGGCAGCAAAATTCTAAATATGCCACTGAGTACATAATATTATTATTATTTCAAGAAAATTTTACCAAGAAACTACAGGATAGCGCATATAAGTGAATTATTGAATATAGTATATAATAATATAATATTACTTTTTTCGAATCTTTTTCATCCTTAATTCTTTTTTTGTTGGTCTCAGAAACGTTATTCTTTACTGGTTGATACATTTTCAGCCATCTATATAATATGAAATAATATAAGATTATATTATATTATTATTTCTGTATATTTAAACTGTTGTCGTCACCACGGACTGTTGCTATAGGTAATAGTTTTATTTTATCGTTTCTAATTTTCTATAGTACCCAATTGTCGATATAAAAATTGAATCGGTACCGGTGCATTATATTCCGAAACGTCGTACTTATATCCGAAGATTTCTTTACCACCAAGGAGAGTGTATTTCTTTATTTATTTTGGTCATTTTATAACAAAAAATTAATAATCTTAATATCCGTATGTTCCTAAATTCGTCTACTAATGTAGCAGATTGTTCAACGGATTGATAGAATTTAGGAATCCCTTTTTTTTTATACACTTGAATATGTTGTTTAATTCTTGTAACCACAATTATTATCATATCAACTATTAACATATTATATTATTATATTAATATTAATGTTAAATTTAAATCACTTTAAAAATATAAACCAATCTTTAGATAGAAAGAGAAGGCACTCAATTGACCATTAATTTCCAAAAACTGCATGAATTACAAATTTTATGTTAATAACAAGCTTGTTTGATGACTTTAATTTCAAGAGTAATTTTAGACTTTCAAAGAATTCAATTGAGGTAACTAAATCAGATTTTAACTATAATATATTATTTATTTATTTATTTGAAATCAAAACAATATTAAAAATTACAAAGTGTAATAAACTGGGTAACATTACTTAATTTTATAACTAGAATTTTGTATACTTAATATAATAAAAAATCGTTCGATACTCCTACTCCTTTTAAGCGAAACTTGTGGTGGGAGCAGTGAGTTCACAACTTTAATTTTCGTAACATGATGGACGAAGAGTTAATGCAAATATAGCAGAAAACTTTAAACTTAAAATTAAACATTAATAGAAAATTAAAAGGAAGAAAGAAACAAAACGAAACAAAAATGTACAGTTTAGCAAGGTTAACAAGAAAAAAAAATATTAATAGCTATAACATAAAAATATTCTAGTAACGGGACTGTTAACGAAATAATTGTTGGTACTTTTGATTAATCGTACGTTGTCCGTGGTTATCAACGTAAAACGTGTGTATAACTTCGTAAATAAGGATACTGTTTTTTTTTTTTTTAAATAAGTTCAATTTGAAATTTATTAAATTAATAAAATAATGTATCCAATTATTCTAATTATAAATTACTAGTCGAATTAGAAGACTGGTAATTGATAAATCAAAGGGATTAAACATTCAATATTCCTGTTTTTTATAAATATGTGAACAATAAAAGTCAGAGGCGTATACAAAGGGGGAGGTGATAGAGGCGATCGCCTTACTGTTGGTTATAACCACGGTCTAAAATATCTTAATTCATGATTATAATAACTTTTATTGCCTTATCTATATTTATATATATGTCCCATACTAAAATTATTACCTTATTAGTTGAAATTTGTGTTAATATTTCAATTAGTTGATTCTTAAAGTTAATAAAAATATTATTATGACCTCTATATTATAATAGAATTATTTCGTGGTTAGGTTAGGTTAGGTTGAAGTCCGGACCCTCTACGACTTTTGGTTTGGCCGAACGATGGCAAAAAGAAAATTAAAAAAAAAAAAATTTCTGCGCACACTTTGTATGTGATCAATTTTATTTTCGTCCTTTTAGAACTTTTTAGAAGCTTCGAGAACATTCGCGAAATCTCGCAACGACGATGACATCACAGCAAAAATGTGTTGCGTGTGCCTATCACTACCTAACGTTTATAGCTACAGCAGCTCGAGTAGTTCATAAAAACTCACGTGCGACGTCTTCCTGGATTCAGGGCGTTGTGCTGAATCCAACGAAGCCTTCGCTTCAGGTGCCGGAGCGTTTGCGCGGTATTGGCGGTCGTACGAAGTTCCGGTGTTGTGGTCGGTAGGTACCTTTTCCAACGGCGGCTACGGCGGCGCACTGAAATCGCGATAGCTCTTCATTGTCTGCACCGATTTGCGTGCGTGAAGTATGGGCGTCTTCGCGGTAACGAGACGGAACTTTCTATATGCAACACTTGCGTATCTGTTCGATAGAAAATCACTGAAAAATAAAACACACGAGAGCGACGCAAACTTGATGTGTACACCACGGCTGCTACACATGCACTCGGGTCGTACTCGGGTAAAATGTAGTAAATGTAATTTGTATTTGTGTTTAACTGCAAAGAACATAGGTTTTAAAGATTTTTATACATAAAAGAATACAGTATTATTATTTAATGTAAGTCATTTTTTTTATATTCATGATTTTCCAAGTTTCCTAAAAATAGTGAAATAATAAGTTCAATATCTTTTATTTATTGTTGATGTGCGATATAAAATAGGGATTTATTTTATTTTGTAGTTGTTAAATTTGTATTTTGTTGATGTGTAACATAAAGTAAGGATTTATTTTATTTTTTTTTTTTTTTTTTTTTGTTATACTATACTTTTATTACAGAACTTACCTACACAAATGTGTGGGTTGTTTTTTGGTAAAAAATTTTTTTTTTTAAATATTTTCCCATGCATTGGGATACATTATCAGTCTATATTAAAACATAGAGAACATTTAGAGAAAAAAAAAGTCCAGGATTTAAAAAGGATAATAATTTACCCACACAAATGTGTGGATTGGTAGATAATGTGTATAAAATTAAAATAATATTCAGTATATAACAAAGTTATTTACCTACACAGTACACAAAATATAGGTTAATGCTGAAAAGGATATCTGATAATATATTAAAAATCAAACAGACAAAAATGTGTTATTACATTATTGTAGTGAGTATATTGTACATTATATTTTATTGTTAACTATTAATAATACTATTCCTAATGACATAATTATATACATTAAAATAAAATTGGCACAGTATTATATAGTACGTTATATTTGTTCATTACGCTCGTAACTATCAACGTTCTGTTATTGATTGATCTTGATGTGTTGGTTGATCCATTGAGAATTAAAACTCACCGACGAATACACTCCCGGCACATCTTGATCACCACACCCGATGCCCCAAGATACAATACCGACTTGTATGTAATGTTTAAATTGCAAATTATCGTCTTTAACTGCACAAATTAACGGTCCACCACCGTCACCCTGTGTAAAAAAAGCAATTATATATAGTTGTTAGTGAGTGAGGGGTAGATACATAATAACAGCATAATGCATGTGTTATTATTATTAAAATGTGTAAAAATAAATGGTTTTGACTTACTTTGCACACGTCCTCTCCGTGTAAACCGCCGGCGCAAATAAAACTCTCATTTAGAATAAAGTAATTACCAAGACGTGTATTCCGTAATTTCTGCTGGCAGATATCGTTCGGTACGATGGACAATTTTACTTTCTTGAGAACAGTTTGATACAGATTTATTTTCTCTGCATTCAAATAACGGGGAGGAAAAAAAAAATTAAATAAAAGGTACTATACAGTGACGTAATCGGTACAATTGACGCTAAACGATTACTTGATATTTTTTTTAGATAATAAAAGCATCTTCCAAGAAGTTTTTAATTCGATATTTGTAATCATTAAAGAATAAAAAAAAAGTTGATATTACTTACCAATTCCATTTTTACCCCATCCCATAGACACACACGACTGTGGGTCATAGTTCACTTGTCTTTCGTTGCTAGGAATGCAAATAGTATTGATGTGCTGTTGTAACGTAACATCAGAACTCAGTTCGATCACCGCAACATCATTATACATTGTTAAATTATTATGGTTCGGGTGTACAAACGTTCGATGAACTTTAACGTCTTGGTGTGTTTTTTTTTCCAGTGTTGTGTTATCACTTGATTGCGTATGCCATTCACCGAGTCGCACTTTCAGCAAATTCAAATCAATATTTCTATACATTTAGGAAAACAAAAACATTAATTAAATTAAAATAAATAACTACAGTTTATTCAATCGCATTTGCACTTAACATTCGACCTGTATAGTATTTATGTTTAATTGGAAATATTTGATAGGATTATTATTTATAACCAAATCGGTTAGTAACATTATTTTTTTCAAAAAAATATATTGTTTTAATCCAACCTAACTTAACCATCTAATTACCTAACCTAACCTAAATAAAAGACCTCAAGTTTTAGATCTAACCTGACACAATGCGCTGCTGTTAAAACAAATCTCGGATGTACCAGTGAACCACCACATTGGAACACGTTCTCGGTTCTTGTATTAGTTGCTTCGTCTATGTTTGTTCTCAGAATGATAACCATCCATGGAAATTGACCAAAATACGTTTCGTCTGAAGACGTGCGTACATATATATTGAAAACAAATTATCAGTTGATTTTTTATCAATTTCATTTACAACACGATAATCTGTTATTATACTTTATACAATTTATTTACCTCCTATATTATATTAAATTCAACGATAGTAACAAAATAATTCAACTATTACGTATTTTTAATTTTTAAATAAATCTTAAATGTATAATATACCTGTGACACTAGTAATACGCGTTTCGGTATAACTAGGATTTGGCTGTGGCATACCAATACCACAACCAAGAACATCATCATTGTTACTATAACTATCGCTACCACTAACGCCAGTGCCTCCGCTACTACCATTGTCAATTCCATTGCTACCGCCACTGTTACTGTTATCATCGGTTGGATGCTTCAAATTGACAAAATTACAACATATTTGGTTTTTTTCGCAATTTTTTAACCTAAAAATTATAATTTATGAACAATATATACATTAAAAGAGCATGAAATATATTAAATACCTTCCATGATACAAAAATAATTAGAACATTAAAATATTGTTTATCCATTTATATTATGCCTATATTTTCGGCAATAAAAAAATGTTTAAGGGTGCAAAGAATATTCTCACAAAATTATTACTCTTGTCCTTTTTAAAATTTAATTTAGAGGAGAAAATGAAAATTACTGAATATTCTCACAGAGTATTACCGTCATTCAACAACACTTCTTGAAACCAAAGGAAATTAGAAATAAAAAAAAAGAGAGCTGATACTAGGGATGGGAGCGGCCAATGTTGTAGGTGAGAATTTGGGAAGATAGGACACATAATGTTATTTCATTTTTATTAGTAAGCAACGATAAACAATTGCTTAATGAAAAACGATTCCGATCGCAGTTCAGTAATACATAATTAAAAGTGCCGTAAATTATTTTTCGATTTTCGTTTAAATTTGATTTTAAAACGCTTATTACAAAAAAAAGTTGCCCGATGATTTCAAAAATTCTACCACGTTTAGGTAAGTCAAATATAAGTATTATTACCAAGTTTCCAATCTCTACGTGTATTTCTAACCGAATTACAGCAAAATAACTTCCAAAAATTAAAATTCCTTAAAATCTCAAAAGTGGCTTAAAGTTCTGCAGTTAAAGTAAAAAAGTAAGAAAGTAAATCAAAAAGACAATAAAAAATATATCTTGTGGTTTTAAGATTAAATCATTTTTTTCTGGTGGAAAACGTCGTCCGTATTTGTATAAAATAATGAAATCGTGAAATTTTACCTTTTCTCTTTTTCCCCACTTAAGTGCTTTTATTTAAAAAATGGCGTCGAAAATCAATGACCTTTTTAAAGTACAATCTAGATAACTTGAGCTTTCAGAAAAGGTGTAACACTTATACATCAGACCAAGTTTACTAGGAAAAAACGTGTCCACAGACTATAAGAAAGAAAGAAAAAAAAATATAGCATTGTAAAACCAATAGCTCCCTCGCTACGTTTGGAATCTAAAATTATGTCTATTTTTTCTTGAAAAACTGTCGGGAATCTAGACAAATGTTTCTAATAAAATTGAGGTGTAACTAGTTTTAAGCATTTATATGAACTCAAAAAGTGTTTTCTGAGAAAAAATCACGTCTAATAAAAACTTAATAACTTGATAAGTCATTTTACTCAGTATCTAAAAATACACGTATCATTCGACTGTAATATTTTATACAAATTATTATACTTTAATTTAAACTACCCGAAAATATATTATCATATAGTGTCTCGGAAACGATGATTTATATGGTTTATATTTACCTAATATCTATGTCTGATTCGTTGTCCAAACATTGACTAGTTGGAACGCATTGACATTCTTTTGTCGGCTTCAGTATCGATACTGTCGGTGTTGTTGAAGGCTCTTCAAGTTTCTGATGGTATGTTGGTGTTTCGGACGATGTTGTTGTACTAACAGTTGAAGTAAATTCATCAGTGATTTTGCAACACACAGTTTTATCACCCAAACATCCCGGTTTTAAAGCCCTAAGTATAAACAGAAAATTAATACAATTGTTGATTTATTACTCTTGTATGGATGAAGAAATGGCTCTAGGATAATAGGGAGAACGATACACGAGTATCTGACCTTTGAGTGGAATAGAGGTGAAGATCAAGAATAATATACTTTTTTTCACACCTTTTATATTAATTCGACGCGTAATACATTGTTATCGTTATTTATTTTGATACATGATAATTTAAAAAGTTACACGCACAAATAATTGAGTGGTGTAGGATCGAATTTTTATTTTATTCTTTATTTATATACGTGTACATATATATTATACATATAGGTACCGTTCAGTAACAGTTATGTCGTGCAAAATTCAAACTTAAAATAATATTATATCAGATACGATTATTATTTTAAAACACTCCGAAAGAAAATCATAAATGTAATTTGTAAATTTAACTATATAACAGATAATAGTAAAAATATTATATTAATATGTATACCATCATAGACGTAGCCAGACCTATTTTCAGGGTATGCAAGAAGCCTGTGTATCACAGTAAGCCGTGGATTGCTTCAGAAATATACAATAACACAACAATTTAAATAAATGAAATCACATTGATTTACATTAGATAAATGAATTCACTAATCCAAAATTAATCTTAACCCATATCGGTATCTAATTTATTTTAACTCACTAGACCTACTCAAGACTATTAATTAATGCGATACACAATACTAAATAAACAACATAATCATACAAGTCAAATAATTCGAGATTCACACTTATAGGGAAACACTTTCATACTTATAGACATTTTTGTATAAATAATTAACAATTTATCAGTAAACCAGTTACCTAAGCATAATACATTTTACAAAACATAACAATCCCATACACATTGCGTAAGTCTGTGAAATTCAATGATAATATAATAAATTATATTAGAATCAATAATTTTTATTTGTTTACAGACATTTGGTTTGTAAAATTTACCTTGTTTTTTAAATCATCAATAACACTATCAGATATTCTTCGGTATTCTCCCGCGATCGACAGATGGCTATCATTATTAACTTAATAATGATATTATAGTATTAAACTGTTATCAATATTATTATGCCAATATTGAAACGGTGAACGGTAAAAAAACGATTTTAAAATGCGTAATTTAAATAATAAACTAGTATGGTACCAATAATATACTTACTAAATTTTAGGGTAGACTAATAAAACACAATATATATTTTGATTTGTTTAAAAATGTATCACTTACACGGCGATTCGTCGTAGTGTAGCCACTTATCTGAATAATTACCTAGCTATATTATATTTTGCCCGTCGGACATACGGAATACACTATAGTAGTCTGCCCATTGGCTTACCCGAAGTCGTCTTTAACGCTGTCTTCGGTATCACACTGATGGAAATATTTGCACACGCACTGTTGGCCGTCGATCGTGATTACCGGGTTATCCGACGTGTCCGTGTTCGTCTGCGGGGCCGCGTACGCCGGGCCGCGGACGGCGATGACCGCGATCAGGACGACGAGGGCGGCCGTACGGAACGATGACGGGTACGCCATGGGAACGTATTGGGAATTGCGACGGAGAAAAAAAAAAATTAAGTACAAGTACGATTCAGTTGATTTAGGAAAAGAAAACAACCTCGACGGCGGCGGCCACACCGTACTTGGTACAGTCAAAGGTCGTCGGCGACTGGACCGGGAATTTACAATTATGATTTTAAACGTGACGCGCGCGTCGCTCGCACTGTAAGTAGGTACCCGGTATGGGTAAATATTGTTTGGTGGGTGTGGTGGGCGGGGGGGGNGGGGGGGGGGGGGGGGGGGGGGGGGGTGAATGGGCGCTCGGTTCACGGACAGGTACCTACGGCGGACGGTCGGCCGGTCCGCCGCGACCGTCTCAGTCGAAAAACCGCTTTCCGACGTCCGTGAACGCCGTATTAAATGTGCCCTCCCTATCCCTCCCCCTCACTCCCTCCCCTCCGACAGTGTGTACGGACAAGCAATTATTTTAGATTCCGAGTGCAGCGAAAAATGTATTTTATAATATTATTATGACGATATTATTATACACTTCATACATACGCTAAACACGCCATTATTATTTTAATTGTATTCGCCGGCCGCCGATGCGTATCACTCGCGCACCGGGCAATATATCTACTGCACACAATCGTAAACAAATAGCTGAGTAATTATTATTATTGGTCGTAGGTGTACTAAAACCGCGATCGTATAATAAGCGGTTTGTTTCCGCGTCCCGTCTCACCGTCGTCGTTATTATATCGTTAATAATATTATATTCTTCCGTATTCGCGGTAGTATACAGAATGATCAATCTGTAGCAATCATTTTTCCAGAAACTATATAAACTAACGGTAATCGGCTCTAAAATGTTACATTATTGTCTCGTGATTATTTTGTTCAACCCTTGGGGACGAAACTACCTACATCGTCTTATTATCTTATCGTTACTACGGTAAAAAAAATACGGATCTACTTCGTTCGTGAGTGGGGGGTCGCTGTCGTAGGTGACAAGTTGGGAAGATAGAAGGGAAATTTAATGTATATCTGTACAGAACGATATAGTATATATATTATGTGATATTATAGTAAAATAAATAAAATATACATTGAAACAATTCATAGATTCGTGCAATTTTATATTTGTTCCACATAATTTTTTGCGAAAACCATTTTCGTCAAATTTCATATTAACAGTTTTATATATAAAAAAAAATACTTCTTTAAACTATATTTTTTTTACCACAAATTATGACTCCTAAAGAACCTCCCATTAAATTGTCAAGCATTTATGTTTAGTAGACTACAGAGTACCACAGAGTACCTACCAAATAAAAATTACTTACAAAATTAAAATGTCTATAAAAAGCTCAAATATTTTTACAGTTTTATCACATCTATAAAAGGCGAATATAAGTTTTTTGTCCAAATTATAAGTCACTACGAATATTTTTAACTGAATTATAAATGCATTATATTCGTACATTTTCCAGTTTTCCGGCATTTTATCCTGGTTTTTCCTAGATATTATGAAAACCTCTTAGAAAATCAAAAATAACCATTTTAAAATATCATCTAGACAATATTTTCTTTCAGACATTTTGTCGCACCTATATATTGGAACAAGATTTCTGGTAGAATTTGTGTACACAGTATAAAAAAGACGGACATACTTTGCATGATGGCTACAAGTCACTGTTGAAGAAATTGGGTAGGTAGGATATAGAGGGGGAATTAATTTTTATCTATTAGTAACGATAAACCATTGCTTACTAAAAATGATTCTAAGCAGAATTCAGTTGATAGTGATGCTTTGTCAACAATATACACATCATATTATGGTAAAATAATTAAATAGGCATTATATATTTTCTTTAATAATATTTATTTAATATTGATCAAATTTTTCCAGTTTTTCACATTTGCTGGGAAAATTCTTGGGAAAATCGAAAATTTACCTCCCTAAAGTACCTTCCCAGTCATATTTATTTTCAGAAAAAGTGTTCATCCAAGTATCATTGTAAATCGGATCAAAATTTCTGGTAGTAAAGCTGTCCAGAAAAAAAATCCTAGTTTTTTACTAATATATTTCATAAATTTTCCCGTTTTTTCCCACATTTTCCCTTGTATTGTAAAACTACCGGGGAAATCAAAAAACTATCTCTTTATTATACCACTACAAAAAAATTTCCTTTCAATAAAAGGTCTACATCGGATTAAGCTTTCTGGGAGATGTCTCCAATTAATAAATTACAAATACACACTTAAACTTATTTATGAATATTTAATTTAATTAGTTTCAAGAATTTCAGATTTTGCATTTGCATATCTTCATTATTTATTATATTAGTAAATTAGCTCATTATTTTGACTTAGGTTGACTAAGTAGATTAAATTATTATAATGAAATATTGAGTTATAGCAATAAATTTTATTACACGTTTTTTGAATTATTATAAAATATTATTTTAGACAATTAAAATTTAAAATCGTGAAATACGAAATTACCAATTGAATTTCCAAACGGTAATACGAACAAAAATATTTTTTAAGCATTGAAAATACTTAATAAGACTCATTATGGCGTTGATTAACCGTATTTTCTCAAACCTACAATTATATATGAGTTGAACGGGGAAATAAAACAATAAATCTGTTGTAAATGGAATAATGTACAGTATCTCAAAATAATACATTATATTAGAAAAAATTAATTTAGTCAAGAGTTAATTATTTTGTTTTTTCATTTTGTAGAGATTAAAATATTTAATAAGTAATTGTATTTTATTAATATAGACCACATAAATCCGAAATTTGAAAATGACGTCTAAAATGATTTTTGTTTTGAAAGCATTTACACACGTGTAAAATCGTTAAACTTGTTTTTCGAGTTACAACATTATAATGTTTTTATGGTGCGATAATATGTTTTTAATAACAAATATTAATAATTGACGAGTGATAATGATAATGAGTGTCACTAGATACGCTTGATTGAGCACTCTGTAGATTTAAAGACGAATGTTGCTACACTAAAAATAAGATAATTTTATGTAAACATTATCATTGCGTATTCGTCGGGAAATTCCTATAATTCGAAATGAATTATGAATAATAATTATTATTTGCTGATTTAATGCGCCGCGTCCTTGAACTCGTTTGCACGTTTTGCATGTGTATCAATGCATAGGAATATTTAGTTTTTTTTCTGAATGGGGGGGAGTGAGAATATGAATTTATCAAGTGGTCACTAACTCGTAGGGAACTCCGTCCCCTTACCCCTAAATTATCTTAAATTATAATAACTCATTAATATCATAAATACAAAATATGTTTCTAAATTTATAATTAAAATTATCAAATTACATGTTACTCGAGATTAAATTTTTTTGCTAAAATAATATTGAATACCTATTAATTATTATAAATATATATATGTATTTAAAAATAATTATTGAAATTATATTTTACATTTATAATACAAGATCTAATTTCTTATTCCCATTAAGATTTTATTTATTATAATTCTAACTTATATTTCTGTTTAATAATAATGAACAATTTTTCGAAAACAAATCTTCTTCCAAAATATATAGTGTAGCATCTTTTCTGAAAAGAAATTCTATCAAGTTAGTGCATTTAAGAGATTCCTATTCTAAACAGTTTCATATATTCTAAAAAAGCAAACTGAATTTATTAATTATTATGTTCTGAAAAAATAATATGTTCATAAAAAGTTTAGCACAATATTATCACCCCCACCCCAACAAGAGCGGCTTCAAAGACTCTATTGTAGGGAGGAAGTCATATTTTTCAGAAAACTATGAAAACTATGACTGCTGAAATATTCGCAATTTCCTTTGCATAATATTATACTGCATTACTCGTAAATCAAATTGATTACTAAATAACTAAATAAATATTATTATTTTATAATATTGGCTTGTACAATTATATGTTTTATATACACCCAGGTATATTAATTTATAATCAACGACGGTAATTCGTTGTTGATTATACAAACATCAAATATAATTTTATAATGTAAAGAAAAGTACATTTTTTAATAATTTGAATATTTGAAAACATTTTTTGTACTCAATAAATACAATTATACTTTTTGTATAATTTCTTAACGAAAACCATGTCACTGAAGTATAACGAAGAGTTTAAAACCGCTTTACGAGATCTAGTGAACAACTCCTCCAAGTTGATGGATCAATTTGGTAAATTATTTCTGTGAATTATATTATAAGTGGTCTTTATTTGCCAACTTTTAAATTTTGTTAACAGTATCCTTTAATATTGTTTTATATAATAAATAAAAAATATTGGTAAAATTTGGGATTAATTACTCAACCCCTTCCCGTGCCTCAAGGGGGTTGGGAAATGACCAAAGAGGGTAAATGTATGTTTTTTTAAATTTTAAGTCGAAAAGTATAGCACTAGACATAAAAATATATATAATCTTTTATATAGAGCATATAATTTTTTATTAAATAGTTCTCATAATATTTTTTAGGAATGAAAGATTTTCCGAGGAAAAAAGTAAAATACAAAATATTTAGTTTATTTTGAAAAATTTAAATTTTACGGTTTTTTTAAAATTATTTTTGGTTGTAATCTATTTCCAATACATTTTTCTTGTAGCTCTGGTAATTTTTACGATGTTCTTGAACAACCTATTACAGAAAAAAATTTAGTCAGTTAATTAATTATTGATAAATAAAATACATTTTTGTGGATTTTAATAGAGGAATACATAGATTTATAGACAATTGCATTCGGTAAATATTGTTTTTGTTCTTTGTTTTTTTTTAAATTCTGTATTGTACTTGACCATCAACTTAACTCCTCATTCTACTGCATCATTCACAACTTTTATTCCTTGAATGACATCTATAGGGTCTCTATAACTTTTATTATTTTGCCATTTTATTAGGTCTAAATGTAAAATTTCATATTTAACTAGAATCGTCGGAAAAAATGTTTTGATTTAGGTGTTATTAAGTCAGTAGGAAGATCTTTTTTCAAAAAATTGTGAAACTTCATAATTTGTTTACGAATAGTTTTGTGTACCTTCTATTTCTAATTCACTAATGTTATTATCATCATTGAGATTTTCTATAACTCGTTTTGCAATGCGTGATTTTAAATCATTTTCAATTTTATCATCAAATAACAAAAATAATATAACTTATTCTTTATAATAACATATATGATATACAAATGTGTTGTTAGCTAGCTCGGCTACCTATCTATCAAATACATTTCAACTTTTCAGTTTTTTTAAAAATAATATATCGTTACATGACGCTTCAATTGCATTAAGAGATTTACACCAAAATTTATAACACTTGGTGATAAAAGAATAAATAATTTTCAAACATTTCGATTCAGTTTTTTAGGTAAAAATTGATTTTGAAAAATAAAATCTTTAAGCAATAAATAAAATAAAATCGTATAACTTTAGGAATAACTCTTCCTAAGAATATAATTACTAACTCTAAACATTTTTTATAGTCATCTATAGGTAAATCACTGTCAAGAGTATTCTTACAAAATATTATTGTATCATCTGCTACATTTTCCAAATTATTTTTAACTCCATTATCGATTATGAATGTACAAAAGCAGGGCTGGATTAAGGTTTTTGCTACCCATAGGAAAAATTAACAAAAATAACAAAATGTACCGCCTAATTTACATATTCATATTTCATTTCTAAAAGTGATACGTAAAAAACTCATGGGACGTTCATATTAAAAAAAAATAGTCGTTAATAAAATAAAAACATAAAATCAATACTTTATTTACTATATCGGAAAAAAGTTTTACTTTTTATTTTTTTTCAAACAAGAAAAAGGCGTTCAGCGTAACAATTAGTCACTGCAACTAAATAATAATTTATAAACAAATCTAACATTTTTTTTACCAATATTATGGGTAGTTAACGTGTTCCCATGCACCATAGTACGAGCCACCACTGATATATATATATATATATATTAAGGCATTTCGTTTTAAATTTATTACACTAGCTAATTGTTTAAATAAAATATTTAATTGATACATTAAGAAATCACTGTTTTATAACCGTGAAAAACGTTACGGCGTGGTGTACAACAAAATAATAAGCATAGTAGGTACGAGTATGTATCTTATAAATAATTATGAGATATAATATTATTTTGGGTGTCATTGCTTATTACGGAAATTTTCCTATATTGTACATTATCTACTATAATTATATAATCGGCCGATACGGGTTTTAATCATAGATAATATATGGTTTTAATGCTTCCTTTCATCACGATTTACTAAAAAAAAAACTTATATGATAAAATAATATTAACAATCAATTAAATAATAATATATATGCTCAATTTCGGTTGCAGTTTATTTTTTGAACGCTTAATATGTATTGATATTGTTTCACATCGTACTGTCTTTAAATAGCATGTTTTTATATTTTTTAAATTAAAAAATAATATCTCAACGTAATTTTTACGTCACACCATAAAAAAATTTGCGGCCATTTAATATTTGCCGCCTAGGCTATAGCCTAAACAGCCTAAGCGGTAATATGGCCTTGTACAAAAGGTTGTATCGATATCTTTCCAACTATTTTTAAAAATAGGGTTATCAGGTTCGGACACTATTGTCAGTTTTGAGTAAGAAAAAAACTAAGCTGTGAGTTTTTTAAGCTAATTCGTGAGAGCTCGCATTGTCGTGGTGAAGAATGATCTGTCTTCGGCGGTTTTTTTCCCTTATTTCTCCGAAGACTTTTGGCAATCAAATGGTTGTGTACCATTCAGAATTAACCGTTCTACGTTGTTCTAATACTATAGTTGCCACATGTTCAGTTATGCCGAAAAACCAGACGACTATTGATTTCAAAGAGCTTCGTGCGCGAATATCTTTTGCTGAAATTGGCTCACCTTAAAAGACCCATACAGTTGATTGCTATTTACTTTCCGGATCATACGTATAAATCTACGATTCGTCACCTGTCACAATCTTTAGATGTCTTTTGAAGTGCCATGACTGTATTTTTTCAAAATGTGCACCAATCTATGCTAACCTTTTTTGAGCTAGTGTCAAATTGTGTGATATCCAACGTGAACAAATTTTTTTAACTTTCAAATGTTCATGCAATATTGAATGAACACTAGTGGAGCTTATGCCTAAAGATGCTTCAATTTCACAATAAATCACTCATCTAGTTTTATCATATCATGTACAGCTTCGATGTTTACTGGCAAAACCAACGATTTAGGACGATCTTCACGAAATTCACCCCTGAACGAATGACGACCACGATTAAATTCAGCAAACCAGCGAAACACTATAGCTAGGTGTGACGCTTCATCACCAAAAGTCAAAACAAGTTGATCGACACACTGTTGTTGAGTTAACTCACGCTGAAAGCCACAGTAAATCATTGCACGAAAATTGTGACGATTTAATTTCATTTTTCGGTCGTTATGAATTTTATAAGCCGCTATAAACCACACTATTAGAACTCGTATTGCAAAACAATCAAATAACGTATATTGTAATAATATCATTTATTATGTTCTATTATAAAATATGACTTAATATCCCTTGTGTAATCTTATCGCAAAACTCAAAAGGCAACCTACGTAAAATGAACAATACCAAACAGATCGTCCAAATTTTGTTCAAATTTCATTTTTTTTAAATATTGGATAATATTGAAAAGTAATACAATGCCGACTTTTATTGTTATTGTTGATAAAGTTATACTGATATCATATCTCTTATGATGTAAATATCAATATCAATAGTAAATTGTGAAAATTATATAATAATATTAATAAACCAAAACGTGCATTACACTACGAGTATAAATGCATATATTTATATATTTATTAAAATAATTCAATTATATTTTGAAGTTGAAGTGTTGGATAAATTAAAAAATTACATTTAATCATTAATATGTAAAATTGTTCAAACTATAATTTGTATTTTAAGATTTTTTTCGTAAATTTAATATTTTGAATTATAAACCAAAAATCATTAAAAAAAAAAAAAACAAAAAATAAAATATAAATTTTCCCAAATAAATTAAATATTTTGCATTTTACTTTTTCTCGGAAAATCTTCCATTTTCAGAAAATATTGTAAAAAACTTTTTTATAGAACATTGTATGTTCTACATAAAAGTTCATATACGTTTTTTATGCCTAGTGCTATAGTTTTCTATTTAAAAATAAAATACCATAAATGTACCTCCTTGGTTATTTTTCAACCCCCTTGAGGCACGGGAAGTGGTTAATTGATCATTATTAAACTTAAGAAAAATTAGTTTCATTAGGGTGCTTAACAAAATTAAGGGACACTGAAATTAAACTATTTTACTTTTTTTTCTTCTATAAATATAGACTGGGCCCACTGCTCGTAAATAAATAATAAATTAAAACTTATAGTATTTATTATTGAAACTGAAATCCTATGGATTATTTTACAAAAACAGCATCGTCCTTATAATAATACCTATATTGTTTTATTTGTATACAGACAGAGTGCGTTGTACGGAATGGATCCATAAGCTGATTATGTTGCCGGACGATTCTTTGGAGAATATAAAAATTCGCAACGATTACGCTCAATATCTACGAATCATGGTCAGAGCCGGTTGTTTACACGGCATATTCTCCGAGAGTCCGCCGAAAACGATCATGCCGTTTCCTGAAGCTATGGTAAGATAAAAATGTTATACTTTTATTTTTCCCCTGATATTTAATTTAATATAATAAGTATGGGTATAATATAATGTATAGGCTTACTCTCAGTGGGTATTTGCTGCACAAAATAGGAGGCGGGACTGTGGGGTTTAGAGCCACCAAAAATCAGCCAAGTTCCTACTCAAATCAAGTTATGTAATTAACGTTTATGCTTCAACAAATATTATTTGGTCTATTTGCGCCTACGATCTTGAACTTATTAAAATACTTCTCTCCGTTCTTTTAATTCCATTAATATCAGTGTCTTCATACACAATAACGTCTATCCGTACAACCTCGTGGTCTATTGGCTATTGGCATTCAGGACAGCTCTGTATATTATGTATGTCGCTCTGGATTTTTTATAATCACGTGTCCAAACCATTCAGATACTTAATTTAAGTTATATTACTGAATTAAAATATTTTCACAGGGAAAGTTAATAGCGGCGAAAATACCAACACTACCACCAATGGGACCCATTAACGTGTACATGAAACACTGGTCTCCAGACGGAAGAGCTTACGTTGCCATAAAGCCGATACCAGGAAAAGGAGTTTTGACCTATTTGTCAGTTACTCCACAACCCGAGTGTCCGCATTAAGTGTGCATAGTGCAAAAATATAAACCGTAATCTTCTTCGTCGTGTCCGTCACCTATGTCAAACTCCTTCATTGAGCCAATAATTAGAAAATTGTATTACTTAGCCAGTTGGTTTTCTAAAGAGATTGTTTCTGTAAAATTTCGTGTTGGTCATCTCGTACGTCCCGATAAAATTATTGTGTCCAGTAAGTTTCTTGGCTCCAATCTGGCTCTGCAAGTATGTAAGTAAATGAGAAACAATTCTTTTCAATCGAAGGTCTCCATTTTAGATTCTGAGTGGAGCGAAGGAGCATATGGTTTTACAAAGGTGTTTATTTATTTGTTTTTTTTTCTGTGGACAACTTTTCTACAAGAAGACTTGCTTCAATTTCTAAGTATAGCAACTTTTTTGAAGGTAAACCGGTGTAGGGAGGTACCTTAAAGAGGCCATTTTTTCATTTTCCTTGAAGTTTTCTCAACAAATGTGAAAAATCGAAAAAAATGAGAACATTTACGTATTATATTTGTATAATATTACGATTTTTTTTCAAAGGACAACTTTTTTACCAGGTAATTTTGCTTCAATTTTTAATAACAGCAATATTACTGAAAGTAAATTTCACTCTACTTAAGTACTATAGAGAGGTCGTTCTTTGATTTTCACCGGAGTTTTCTCAGCAAATGTGAAAAACTGGGGAAAAACATGGGAAAATTAGGAAAATCGGAAGAAGATTAAACAAATATTATTAAAGAAAATATATAGAGCCCATTTAATTTTTTTTAATATAATATGGAATATATATTGTTGACAAAGCATCACTATCAACTGTACTCCACTTAGAATTGTTTTGTCATAAGTAGTAGTTTATTATTGCTTAAAGGTGTAAATTAAATTATCTATAACAATAGCTGCACCAGTCTCCATTATCTTAAAGCGTATTTTTTGACATGGCGTGTAATAAATACATTTTAACTCATTTGGAAAACATTCAACAACCACGGGAGGTTATTTTTCAATTTTCCCAAAATTTTTTTCAAAAACTTTTCATTTTTTGATTTTCCTAGCGGTTTTCATAATATTTGGGAAAAACTAGGATAAAACATAAGAAAAACAGAAAATGTACGAAAATAATGCTTTTATTATTTTTCAATTTTGTTATTAGTTGTAAGTCAGTTAATAATATTTGTAGAGGTTTGAAATTTTGAAAGAAGACTTATATTTGCATTTTCTAGATGCTATAAAATTTTCAAAATATTTGAGGCATTTTTATGTTTTCTATACACATTTGAATATTTTTGTTGAAGTTCAGTTGAAAATATTTGTATTGACCTCATAGACTTAAAATGTTGACAGAAAATTTACATTTGCCTTTTCTAGACGTGGTAACAAATTTAATTTTTCAACTTTTTTTTTTTTGAACATATGTATAATTGAATTAAACGAACTGACGGATAAGTTTCGAAATTATAGCTTTTTGAAGTTCTGATATTATATGTTATGTTAAATAACTCTATACTGTCCTTCTTAAAGCATATTTGTCGTGATCTAATGGTTATTATGCCTATTATCATCTTAGAGCTCAACCTCAGGTTTCGAACAAAATAAAATGTTTTGCATTTCCCCCCCCCTTTTTACCTAAACAAGAAAAAAACAATTGTATTATGGATATACCTAAAAAAAATGTATTTTAAAGACCTAAGCTATCGCTTCCTCGAACTATTTTAATCGCAAAATACCTCTCGATTTGTTGTACAAACTTTTCTACCAGAAATCTTTTTCCGATGTACTAAGTGTATAATATTTTTTGAAAGGATATTTTATCTCCATGATAATTTAGAGAAGTCGTTTATTGATTTTTCATAATATCTGGGAAAACTGTGATAAAATGTAGGAAAAACAAAAAATGTACGAAATTTAGGTATTAATAAAAAAATATTATGGCCTTTTTTCTGTGTACAACTTTTCTACCAGCAATTCCGCTCCGATTTAAAATGATAGCACTTTTTCTGAAAGGAAATCGGCGTGGGGAGGTGCTTAAGGAAAATAATTTTTCGATTTTCCCTATATTTTTCCCAGAAATGTGAAAAATCGGGATAAAACCTGAGAAAACCGGGAAAAACGTATAAAAAACGTATTTCATATATTATAAAATATAATACAACATTATAAACAAATATCATTAAAGAAAATACATAGAGCGCATTTCATAAATTTACTATAATATGGAATATATATTGTTAATAGCACCACTATCAACTGAATTCCGCTCAGAATAGTTTTTTTGTAAGCAATGGTTTATTGCTACTTACAGGTATACATTAAATTATCTATAACAATAGCTGCATTAGTCCCCATTAGTCTAGGGTGTTTTTTTTTGATATGGAGTGTAATAAATAAATGTTGACTGTGTTGGAAAACATTCAACAACCTCTTTTACAATTTTTTGAACTTTGGCTGAAGATAATGTCTCATTTAAATTTTGTTTTAGTTCATGATGGATAATTCAATTAGCTATTTGACTTCTCATTCTCATATTGAAACTATTATTTATTCATTTATTTCAATTGTTAATTATTAATGACCATGACTACATTTAGAACGCTAAGGTACAGTTCGAATCCATGTTGAATCATGCTTAAAAAATGTTCAATAAATTACAGTTTTCTGGATGAAACATTGAGAGCTCATACCTCAGCTTTAAGGTACTAGCAAATTTTAGAAATGAACTCGCAAATTCTAGCACATTGAGAAAAAAATGTTGATACCATTTTCGATTGTTCTGGTAAGGTGGGTAGGCTCCCTAAAGTTGGCCCACCCTTGAAATAGTGGGGAAGTAATGACTAACAAATTTCGTGAATGGACTTACATGACAGGAAGTCGAATTTGTTCCTATTAATATTTTGCTACGAACAGAGTAAGTCGTTTTTCGATATCCAAAGTAGTTTTCCAAATAATTGGGAAAAACCAAACAAATAATATTGATTAATATTTACGGCAACGAAACATCTTTGTTTGATTATTTTAATAGGTTCAACTAGAAATATTACTTCAATCAAAAGATGACAAGTGATCGATTTTGTTTTTATTTCTAATTAATTATGAGTGAAGCGAAGTTCGATTATACATGTTTTGAAAGGCCGTAATATTACAATTTTTGTCAAAATTTGATTTTAACTCATATTAAAAAAAAAATAGCACCTACCTACATTAAACTACATTTTTTTTTTTTTTTTTTGATCTTTATTACGATTTATAAAAAACTAGCAAAATTAAAATATCTATATGTATATCTATATGTAGCTCAAAAATTGCTTAAATTTTCTGAAAGTTTTATCATGTCTAGAAAACATAAATATAAGTTTTCTGTCAATATTTTAAGTCCCTACGAATATTTTAAACTGAATTACAATAAAACTACTAAATTTTCGTAAATTTTTCCATTATATCTACGTTTTTTTTTTTTTGATTATGCTCAATTATTTTTAAAACTAAGAGAAAATCAAAAATACGAAAAACTTACTAATGAACAAGATTAAAAATGCAATAAAAAAAGATATCTATTGGAGCAATAATTGTGGTAGAAAACATAAGCCGTACGAATTTTAAAAAATAAAATCGTTGTACCGTAAATAATTTGAAAAAAATCGTATATTTCGTCTTTTTTGGTTTTTCCCAATTACTATGGAAAATACTTTAGATATCAATAAACGACTTACTCTGTTAACGGCGAAATATAAGAAAAAAAATCGGTTTCTGGTTGTTTTTGGATTAGAGGAATTTTTCATTTAGAACATTTCCGGACACAGAGCACATTGAAATTTTACTCCGTCGTGCAATTTAGCGTGACGAATCATGCTACGTTTGACGTTAAAAACTTTGCTGCAACCGGCGAAAGTACATTGGTACGTATTCATTTTTAATCGGATATAAAAATGAACAAATAAAAATAACAAGTTAATCAGCAACGAAAATTATTATGACTTATGGTACGATCACAGTGGCACCGACGTCGACCGATTCGACCGACGACCGACGTCGGTGAAACTCGCCCGATTATTTTAAGTAAAGTAAATAAAATACAAGTGGTCTCAGTGCCTCCGACCTCATCGGCCGATTCAGTCGACGTAATCAGTTCAAACACAATTTTTTTTTAGAAAAAAACGTGATCGAAAGAGAAAACTACAAGGCAGTTGGACACTGATTGGTGTGTAGTAAAATCACTACTAAGGATCGATCGTCCCATCGTTGTGGTCATGGATAAATAATCCGATAATATTTAATGGTGTAAATAATAATTATTTCTTACACTTCTAGATTATATTGTCGTTGACAAAAATTGATTGTAACGGAGGGTAGATGGGCGGGTGAGATGAGGACGTAACAGACCCTCGCTATACAGGCCTGTGCAGGTCCTTAGTCTATCGATAACCGTAATAAAATATTATTTTAGTATAGGTACTTATACTTACGATATAAACGAAGAGGGTGTATAGGATAGTGCGGGGTGATTTAGGTTATTCGACGGTATGGTAACGCTCGCGAAGACACAATTATGTATATCAACTTTTGTATCGGCAGCCGCCGACATCCAGAGAAATACGATACGCGTTGACCGCCTAATAGGCGGGCGGGGTATGGTGAGCTCGTTAATAATGATTGCTAATGGTATGTTATGAAAAATATTATTATTATTTAGAAAAATAATAATAATAACTTATTAAAATATATACACTATGTACATATACAGTATTTTGCATATTATATACGGTATACAAATTTGGTGTGGGGCTAAGAGACCAACACATACAAGATCGTACTGGATCTTACAGACAAGAAACACAATGCGCGCTGCTGTCGATATATATATATGTATACATTCTTTTCGTTCTCGGGGAGGGATCGGCTTTATGTATATTATACACAGGAAAAGATATGTGTGTGTGTGTGTGTGTGTTTGTGGGTATATGTATAAGTTTATGTGCGTATGTATGTGTGTGTAGGTATGTGGAGAGGGTCAGCGAGTAGAGAAAAGCGATAGTAGTATTTGGCGATAACAGTGTGGAAAAAATAAGGGGGGGGGGTCTAAATAGGTCGAGTACGTGATACATGTAGAAAATATTATAAAGGGGTGGGGGAAAATTGCTTGTATAAGTAGTCGATAATGTAGAAAAAATATTTTAAAAAAAGGGGGGGCGTGGTCTAAATAGATCCAGTAGTATAGGTTAGGTGCAAATAGATGCATGTAGGAAAAAAAATTGAAAAAAAAAAATTCTTGCACCTGCTCCTGCTCCTTGCACCTTGCACCTGCACCTGCACCTGATTTAGAACCGGCTATTTTATACTACTTAGGTACCTAAATTATATTATGCTATGTGTTATTACTACCTATGTATAATAATATACCTAGTACATATTATATTTACAAATATTAACTAAATTATGATATACATGTATACCTATTATTTATTGGTTTATTCTACATTGTAAGTATGAATCTATCTATTATGATCTATATGACTTCAGTGGTGTGGTTGTAAATAATTTATTGGATATAGGAGACCATAATATCATAATATTATAACCGTGTATTCAATTTATTTGCAATATTATACATTTTTTAAATTAATAGGTACTTACATCATATAGTAATTAATACACCAAAATCCAAATATGTGATTTAACACAGGCACTACACAATACCAGATGATCCAAATAAGCTGCTCTACAATTTTATATTTTATGTTATTTTAGGGGGTAAAACCACTACCTACTTTTGATTTTCAAATGTGAACCTAAATTAAAAATCCCCTTATTAGATGGAGTATTAGTTAAAATAAATTTTAGTGTTGAAATTTTTTATTTCTATCAAATCGTTGACGAAATATTCCATTTTTAATTTTGGGTTGAAGGAGAATAGTAGAGTATCATTTGTGTGGTGGTGCGGTGCCCGACGTGTTAATAATACACCACTACTCTCATCCAACCTAAAATTAAAAATGAAATACCTCGTCAACGGATTGACAGAAATCAAAAATGTCAACACTAAAATTTATTTTAACTAATACTCCATCTATTTATGGAATTTTTAATATAGGTTGTCATTTAAAAATCAAAAGTAGGTAGTGATTTTAATCCCAAAAATAAGGGTGGTACAAAATAACATAAATATAAAACTGTAGAGCAGCTCATTTTTTAAATGTTCTAAAAATAAATTACCGAAAAAGTTAAACTTTCCGAGATAGTAAATGTACCCACTTAAACGATACACAATACAGTGTATACAGCCATCCGCTCATTCGTAACGATATGTGTAGTTATCGTACGTGGAACATAACTTATCACAATTTTCGTGCGGTTACATGTTAAACTTTTGAACAGTTCGTGCACGGTTAAATAAATCTAAATTGTATAAAGTTGAAGTATGGTTTAAAATCTGTGATGGCACTTTTCATACACTACTAGGTCAAATAAATCTAACAGAAACCAACTAAATGCTACTCGTGTATAACTGAAAACCAATTATTAAGGGGGGGAGTAAAATTTTTATTGAGCAATATTTGATGACACTTGATTTTTAATTTTTTTTTTTTTATTGGGAGAGGGTGGCCATAGGTTTTTACCCCCACCTCCTCTAAAAAATAGTCACTGGCTATAAATATTTCTACTAAAATTATTTAACAAGCTGCAGATAACAACTTTAGACATTGTGTACATGCAGTAGTCATATTTACGGGGGAGGGTTATTGAGAGTTTCCTCACCTAGAAGCACATAACTTCAATAATATTGGTGAGCTTAATATAGCTTAGGTGGAATTTGCTGTATAAATTTACTCCCTTCTGGGTTAAATACTAAAATTGCGAGACAGTGTCAGCGAGTCGGTGTCGGTGAAATGTGCGGTGGCGAGACTGAGAGTCGGTGGCGACGAGTCGATCATGGCGAGGTGTCTTAGACCATAATCCCCAACCTCCCCTAGGCTATTGATATGTATGTTAAAATGTAAAAATATTATTGGGCTACTGATCGAATTTTAGCTAAGAAATCATTATCTTCATAAATATGTTCTAGATCCGTGCTTGCCTTCAACTTTTTTAAAAAAATATTAAGCAACTCATAATTTTTCGTAATCCCCTTATGTAGTTAAAACCCGACTAATATTTCAAATCAATACAAATTATCAAATAATCCAATATAATTTGTATTTAAAAAAATTTAGTGTTTAAGTAGCGCAATTAAACATTATACAATAGCATTAGAAGTAGCGCACTCCATTTATAATAAAGTAGCGATTATGAGTTACTTTTTTTGAATAAGCTACAAAGAAACAATAGCGTTAAGAACACGGTCTGTGGTGAAAGAAAACAGTCTTGAAATATCTACAGTGGCAAGAAACTTGAAACAAATACATAATATATGTATTGGCATAATAATACTGTAACAAATGGCGCCGTACTATTAATTAAATTTCTATGAACGAATTTGTAAAAAAAAATAAATTGATTTATAGTATGTATTATTGGATGAACAAAAAACAAAAAATACGGTTCCACAAAAATATTTTCTCAACAAAATATTTCTTGGCTTTATAAATAAATATAACAGACGCAATGAGCTGCAAAAATCTATATTTTCGGAGTAAACTCAAAGAAAGCTTAAAAAATTTCTTAAACTAGATCTAATTATTATCAAATTCGAATCTGACATATTATCTAAAATAAATATTTATATTTTGATGTTTATTCGTATACCTAAATGCATTTGTATATTTCCTAATACTTTTAATAAATTGTTTAAAAAAATGTAAATTTAAACCTGGCAGTGTAAAAATTTATTAGGTTATTGATATGCATTATTATAATGGTTACACAAATATTTAAAATTAATTAGAAAAAAAAAAAAAAAAAAAAAAAAAAAAAAAAAAAAAAAAAAAAAAAAAAAATTAAAAAAAAAATTATAAAATTTTCGAAGGATTTTTTAAAACTAGTCCGAGTAATAGTAATTATTAAATATTAAGGTATGGGTAGAATTTCTTTGGTAGGTATCTAGATTGAATTTAGTTTTCCGTGACGTCCACTGTAAGCGCTCTTCGGATGAGGTGCTGCGATGGACCCGACCCCGGGCAAGTATTTCAGAGCGCTCATGAGTGTAGTGAATTTGTTCATCTTGTGTGCGGTACACGTCGTGCGTGCAGTAAGGAAATATTGATCGTTCGGCTACTAGTATTATCGGAAGGTATTTATTAAAAAGGTAAGTGTTCGGCTATTATTGAAATTCAGATATTGTTTGACATATATTTATTATCATTCTTCACCACCCAGTGCATATGTGCTTCACCAGTTTATTTTTCCCGTCGATTAATATATTAACAAAATAATTACACTATTTCGGGTGGGATAGGGTAGAGTAGAGTAGATTAAAAAAACAATATATATTAATTTATTAAAAATATACATTCGTATTTTCTAATAATATAGAATAGAAAAATCGATAGCGATTTTTTATTTAAAACATTATATTATGTCCTTTTTACATACGTGCAAATCAACCTCTATACACATAATATTATTATACATTATAAAAAATAAATAAACACATATGTATACATAAAAAATTGACAATATTTTTTCCCCATCCAGATGTCTGAGCTAAACGATGAACCGAACACCGTGGCACTTGCCATGGCAATCGATGCTGCCGAGCAGACCGACAACAAGGACAATGACAATGACAAAGACAAGGAGGACGACGACGAGACTAATGAGATCGATAACGCTATTAAAGCCAGATTTTATCGCAGAGCTTTGGAATTTGCGTTCAATCGGGTCGAAAAGTTGACTGGGACGCGGGAACCGAACAAAAAAATGACTGAATACACGGCACAGTTTCGTAAGATCGACCAAATAACGAGTGTGGCACGGCAGAGTGAAGAATACAAGGAATTGTTGCGCTACGTGAATTCTGACAACGTTTTTATTGGGTTTGAAGATTCTAACTCGCCAAACGATCCCATCCCGCCTGAAGGGTGTGACGAGGAATTTAAACCCGCGTCTTAATCGGGGACTTGGCTGTCGTAGTTTCCAAGCGCACCACCCTACCTACCTTAACCCCACCCCGTACTATGACGCATTACCCTGCCACGGTCACCCGAATCGATACGACGTATTTGTTTTTCTTTCATCCTGTTAGGTAGCAACACAAACTGCACACTATACATTATAATATTATCGGCGGCTGTGCTGTTTTGAAATCTGTGGTCTATTTTATAACTTGTGTGTATATCATTTCAATTTTCGGTAGATTTTCCACGGTGGAGCGCTAATAGAACCAACATATTATATTATTTTCTGTTATGGTTTAAATATAATACGTATAACATGTTTAATAAATGATTTGTCAAATTTTTAATGATATTTTTTGTTTAAAAAAAAAAAAAAATTATGTATTTTAATTTTACATAGTTATAAATACAATAACATTTTGAAAAATAAAAACTTAAATATTTCATTACTTTAAAATTATCATGGAATATCTGGATATAATTCTCTGTTTTTAATATACTCATACGCGTTGATAAGCTATTGTAACATCCGTTACATATATGCACTATGTAGTATATTATATACACTATGTATACTATATATTATATTACACGTTTTTGTTATATTAGCATTTCTTGGTGCAGACCAGAATAGTAGACAATATATTGTTTTCTACAGACATTGATTTATTTGGCCAATGACTTTCTACAGGAGCGAACAGACATCCTAAAGGTAAAATTTATAAAATATAATTCTAATATTATGTATGCCGTTAACCTACAGGTTATAATATTTTTAATTGTCTATAACACATTATTTAAAGAAAAAATTACGACCGTGAGTGTATGATGTTGCGTACCTGCAATGTACAAAATTACATTTATCTAAATAGAATTTAAAAAAAATTAAAAAAGTCATGCATTGTAGGGATAACTAAACCTATCTCCATTAATTTATAATATTAAGATCCAATCGACCATTCACTTCAGAACTACGATAAATTATATTCAAAAGAATCTACTCTCTTCTTTAAATATTTTCTATCTAACGGGTCACCTCCGACCATGTTACACTAGTCAGGCAATCAAGTAAAACAAACAAATTTCTAACATAATTGTATCAATTGTTTCAACTATTTCAATTTTGTTTTATGTGATAACTTTGAATCCCGTCATATCCCTTGACATAAAAATGTACTTTTTTTTATATTACTGTACATTTTTTAATTTTTTAAAGTAATTTTCAGAAAGTGTTTTTTTATCTAGGTATATTATAATTATTATTGTTTATTTGTTCGAAAAGATAATGGGTTTAAAAATCTAAACATATTTAGGTACGATAAAAATAAAATTAAAGTGAATTTAAAAAATATAATAATGAATAGTTTAGTTATTCTTACATGATTGTATTGTGTATATATAGTATATACTTAGTTTATTTTAGATTCAAAACATAGGAATCTATTGATTTTACTATGATCTGCGTTTTTATTTTTATTTGTTTTTTTATGTTTGTGAGCAACTTTTCGAACAAAAAACTTATTTCGATGTGACAAGTGTAATACCTTCTCTGAAAGGAAATTTAATCTAGTTGGTACATTGGGACGGTTAGTTTTTCATTTTCTAAGAGGTTTTCTTAATAAAGGGGAAAAACTAAAAAAATAACTATCGGAAAAAAGACAAATATTTACGGTGCGCTGCGTCGCTACGTTACCAATTACATTATTTTTAGTTTTCGCAAACTATGTTTTATACCAGAAATATTACTACAATAGAAAAATAACAAGAGGTCTTTTTTGTTGCATTAATAATCTCTTTAGTACCTAAGTCGTTTTGGTTTTTCGTATATTTTTTTTTTTAATAATTAAGCAATAACATAAAACAAAGACGGCCTAGGTTGCTAACGAAAAAACGATTCTGATCGCAGTTTAGTTGATAATGATGCTTCGTCAACAATATATATATATATATATTGTGTCATATTATGGTAAAATAATTAAAAAGGCATTATATATTTTCTTTGATAATATTTGTTTAATATTGTACCGTTCTTCCCGGTTTTCCCATATTTTTTCCTGGTTTTTCATATTTATTAAGAATACTCCTTCATACTCCTTGGAAAATCGAAAAATGATGTCTTTAAAGTATCTTTCCAGTCAGAAATCCTTTCAAAAGAGTGCTATCATTTTCAATCAGAGCGAAATTGCTAGTAGACAAGTTGTACACAGAAAAAAAAGGCCATCATATTTTTTTAGTAATACCTACATTTCATACATTTTCAATTTTCCGACATTTTATCCCGGTTTTTTCCAGGTATTACTTAAACCACTTGAAAAATCCAAAAATTACCATTGATATAAAATTTCCTTTCAGATAATAAGTTACACGTTGGCAGAAATATTTGCACAACAAATCGATGGGTATTATGCGATTAAAATAGTTTGAGCGAGTTATGGCTTGTGTCTCACAGGTATACCCAAAATGCATTTGTTTTTACCTTTTTTAGATAAAAAAAAAAAGGACAATATAGACCCATTTAATATAACATATGATATCCGCATAAAAACAAAACTTCAAAAAGCTATAATTTCGTAACTAAGTGAGTTCGTTCAATAATTCTAACTTCACCATCGTTTTCAAATTATAATAAACAAAACAATTTTTTTTTTCCAAAATGTGTAATTATATATGTTTAATAAAATGGTATAATCAAAACTTACCTATCATACTTACTTTTATAGTTATTTTACATAAACCTTGAAATATAGCATTTTTGGAATTAATCCAAAATATGGTCGTTTTTATTATTATTATGATTTGTAGTTTACTACAAAGTTTAATTTATTGAAGTCATAATAAGTCTATCTGGCTTAGATTTAAATTTATAAGCGTTCAAACCCTAGTGACCTTGCTAGGTTTCTATGTGCACCCAAATCGCTTTTTCACTTTTCCCTATTACCTAGCCGACGTGGTTTTGCACAAAAAATTAAGGGTTATTTTCGATTAAAACAGTCCGAGCAAGCGTAGAGACTGAGTGACCCCCACAGTTCTCTAGTTGTACCCAAAATACTATTTTCCAAGGTTTATGTACAATAACTTCAAAAGTAAATGTGATAGCTGAGTTTTGATTAAACCAATGGATTAAGCATTAAAAATCACACCTTTTGGGAGGGGGGGGGGGAAATGAAAATGTTAAATTTTCACTAAGAAATATACGAAACAGAAAACCTGAACTTCATGAAGTTTTTCCCAATAACTTCTAAACGAAGTTTTTGCGACTTTTTTTTAGATTTTTAATGTACCGGCAAACACATTTTGAAAAAAAAAAATTAAAAAACGAGCTTGAAGCGTAAAATAGATTTGTTCCAAATTCTTTTATAAAAATAAATACAACATTAAACTCAATTTTTTTTTTACTACAAATTAAGATTTTTAATGAACCTCCTTTTAAATTTTCAAATATTTCTGTTAAGTCTAAAAAATTTACTACAGAATAACTACTAAATAAAAATTACGTACAAAACTCGCATAATTTAAATGTTAATAAATAATTCAAAAATGGCTTAAATTGTTTTGAACATTTTACTATGTCTAGAAGAGATAAATATATATTTTCTGTCTCAATTTTATGTGTATAGAGTCGATACGAATATTTTCAACTGAATTACAACAAATAACTTAATTGAAAAATAATAAATGCATTATTTTCGTAAATTTCCCGTTTTTCTTACGTTTTAAAATGGTTTCCCCGGATATTATGAAAACCGCTTGGGAATTTAAAATTTAACCTCCCAAAAGTACCATCTGGATAATATTTTTTTACAGAAATAGTGCCGCGCGTAAATATAGGAGAAAGATTCTGGTATAATTTGTATACACAGTATAAAAAAAAAATTAAAAAAAAAACATCTTAGTTAAATCAATACATTCTCTATACACATGTAGACAACACGGGGAAATATAAGGAAATAATGCTTTTATTATTTTTAATTTTGTTTTTTGTTGTAATTCAGCTAAACATAATTGTAAACTTGTAATTTTGACAGAAACATTATAATTGATTTTTCTAGGCGTGGCATAATTTTCAAAACATTTGACTAGTTCTTTACCTTTTTATAGACATTTTAATTTTGCGATTTTTTCACGTAATCTTAATTTGGTAAGTACTCTGTGGATACAATTTTTGGACTAAACAGAAATTGCTTAAAGCCGCTTTAAGTTGTTTACCACATAAATAAGAAATTGCATAATTCCAATAACAAAATCTATTTTGATTTTTATCTTGTCATCTATTCATCTGCTCGCAAAATAGTGTTCAATGTTCATCCAAAAATACATACTTCAAATCAATATATTTTTATGTACATTTTTCTACCCAAATTTAACTAATAATACGGCGTCATATCGCGGATCTAGAGGTTCTATGATCTTTTTTTTTAGAATGACTTAAATATATAATCTTCATAAGATTTAAATGAAATATCTTTACGAGCAGTGGCAGTCCTTGACAAATTCCTAGGGGGGCGTGAAATATTTTTCACATCAAATACAATCCAAAAAAAAAAAAAAAAAAAAATAGTTTGTTAAATTTAAAAATGTATTTCATGTAATATTACAAAACAAAAGTCCTTTTTCGGTTTTTTTTGTTTTGCAAATCGGTCTATAATATTTTAGTAGGTGGTGCATGCCGTCCCCCGGTCCCCAACACATTATCAAGGCCATATCACAGAATAGATGAAACCTAGTGTAGCTAAAAACTATTAAAATCATTGATTTTTTCTTGCTTTGTTACCACAATTATTTAACATAAAAAAATGTAAAACATAGATATATTATCAGGTATTTGTTGTAATATAATATAGGCCAAGGGAGAGCGAACTACCCATCGCTCCCCATTTTTTTTTTTGAGGATAAAAATTCTATCATAAATGACAAAATTATTATTTAGAGTAAAAGAGTCCTATCCACTATTATTATTACCAACAATAAAATAATATCAATAAATGGGTACAATAATTATTGTAACATAGTTAGAAATGTAAACCCAGTAAATTATTTTTTACCAAAATAATTAGCAAGCACATCTCAAATTAAAACGTCTTTACGAGGCTAATATTTATAACATATTAATAAAATGGAGTAGCTGATATAAAAGCACAAAACGAATACTTAAAAAAGTATTAAAATAAAATAATAGCAACTTATATCAATTTTTATGAAATAAATAATAGCTGTAGGTTAGAAGCAGGCTATTTTATCGGTAGGTACCTATTGCGGTGATATGACACATGTTCAATGGAAATAATAACCTGGGAGATCCACCGCATTTACTTAAATCATATATATATATATAATAATTAATAATAAAATATTATGAATTATTAAAAGTTTTAATTTTAATTTTTAACAAATTGTTATACTGTTGTTATCATTTTTAAAGTATGTCCTTTGTAACCGCCGCATCTCGACTGGTCTAACATAATGTGTGGTTATACTATTTATATTTTGTTTTTTGTTTTTGATGTAAGTAGATTAATAAGATTAATAAGTACCTAAAGAACCTGATTTGATAAATTTCCATTTTTTTTTTTTTAAAGGTACATTTTTTACATTTATGTTTAGATAAAAGAAAAAGTAAATCATAGGTACAACAAATTTTCAATTTTGTAATTACTAATTACTAACTACACTATTATCCATATAATAACCCTATCCAAAAGAATAAAAATAAAAATTTTCTAAGTTATGCGTTTATGGTAAGATGGTAGAGACTAGAGAAGCACTATTGGGTGTTTTCTTTTGACTTAAAACTAATAATTTTAAAATTTACTACCGAATTTACGTACATTTTACATCTCTAAACATAATTAGGTTACCTAGTCAAACAAGTTTTTTTATCAGTCATTTTAGTCATGACGTGCGTGTGTGTTTGTGTCACACGATTTTCATCATTAAACAACAATAACCGTGGTATAATCTTAGTGGCATGTTATTGTATTGTTGTAACTTATCAGCTGTTTATGTGGATATTATTGAACGTAATATATAAATAGATTTTCTTTTGGAATCTTCTAGAGTTCTGATAATGGTTTAGCATTTAGTGTCACAGTATAATATTATGGGGAATCGTTAAATTATTTTACTACTAAGTACTTTGTACTTTAAATTAATTTAAATTAATTTTACGAAGAGGACTCTCCAAGACTCTCCAAGACTCTCTAAATGTCTTCCTTATCTAGGATTGCTAGTCAATAAAATGACTACAAACAATTGTCAGGTAGGTAGTTCTAAATCAACATCTTCCACTGATGAAACAATATATGACTTTGATAGAGACAAAGTAGATAATATAACTTGCATAAAGAAAAACATTTCAATTGAGTAAGTACCTATATTACATTGTATATATTTATTAGATTTATATGTCGTGAATAGGTATTCACGTCCTACATAGGTACCATTTATTTTTGAAGAGAATAGTAATTAATCCCACTTTTCATATGATTATTATAAATACCTAATAAAATAATATTTATAGGTAGGTACCTACTAACAACTAATATGGTTACCGAGTGGGAGCACCGGGGCAATTGCCACACATAGATAATGATCGAAGTTCTGGGTTGAGTAAGTCAATTAGTATCAGGGACTGAAATCTTAAAATACCGTACTGAAAAAAACCGATTAAAGACTAAAAATGTTTGAAATCACATTCGGATTCCGGTCACCTTAATAATTTTATTTTTAGAATTGAAACCTTTATTTTGATGTATCGGTTTTTTTCGGTTTTTTTTTTTTTTTAGTTCCAAATAACAATTTATAGTTTATATATTTTAAACAAATACTAGTAATAATTCGTAGATCTATCCAACAGTAATAAGCACCTTCCTAATATATCCTCTCATAGTCTCGAGAATGTATTGACTTCGAGCGATTGTATTCCCCATGCAATCCGTGAGTTACTATTTTGTATTGTGAATCGTATTTAATAGTATTTAATTTAAACATCCAGCAATATCAGTATTATAATAATGTAATTGAATTATTTTTACGGTGCTTATCACACTGGGTTTTATTATCGACCCAACTACGTTGTACCTATGTATTAATCAAAATGTATAATCAAAACATAAACATTTCGGGAAATTCCGCACACACTCATTTCCCGTATTTTAATCGGAATTATTAAACTGTGCAGATACGGTATAGATAATAATATTATCGGCTTAGAGCAGAACTCATTAACGGTAAAAACGTCATTTTAATAAAAACTATCCCTCTAAAGTACCATCTACACAACTTGAACTTTCAGAAAAGTTGCTACACATAAAAATCAGAACCAGTTTACTAGGAAAAAACGTGTAAACAGACTAGAAAAAAAAGAAAGAAAAAATAAACATCTTAGTAAAACCAATAGCTCCCTAACTACGCTTGGAATGCCCTTTTTTTTATATGTTCATTTTTTTTCATTTCGTATTTTGTATTTTATTGAAAAAAGTTATTTTACCATTAAAAATTACCTCCGGAGACAAGAGCAGTAGTACAATAGATAGTGAACACAAAAACGTGATTGCAGTCAGAACAAGAATATCAACGACCATAATAATTTTAATTTGACCAAATGTCATAGTTTTACCAAGTATAAATAACAATGCTATGCATGACGCGGCTTCCGAAGACGGTGCAGCGGGGCGATAGATCAACACTTCCACACATATGCATAAGTCAACTTTTATTGCTACTGTTTATAATTCCCGCATTCAAAACAACAAAAACTACCTTTCTCTCTGCAATCAGTCCGATCGAAGTAATGAAGTGATAAGAATTCTGAAAACAGATTTGGATTCCACATGAAGTCTAGAGGAAATCGTTCAGGCCACTTTTTAAAATTAAATTTATGACAATTTAAGTTCAAAATATAAAAAAGTGGTCTGAACGATCTCATATAAACTTCATGAAGAATCCAAATCTGTTTTCAGATTTTTTTTTTTTTATTGCTACACTACCTTAATCGGACTGATTTCAGAAAGTTTTAACGCAAAAAATCAGTCGGTATCCAATCGCCTTAATGATTTCTTGCTCTAATATATTATATTATATTGAAAATATCGTATTGTATACTATTTTATACAATACGAAATAAAAGAATATTTTTTTCAAGATCATACAAATAATTAATAGGTACATTTTATTTTTTTTTTATAATGCACAGTAGGTGCATTATAATATGATATACATAATATATCATTTGGTATAAATTATATTTAATTTTACACATTTATTAGATGATACTTAGACTTAAGAAAATAAATTAAATACTATAGAATTTCTTCGTAATTTAGAAAATAAATAAGTTCTAACATTTTTATCATATGTTTTTATTATTTGTATAGTCTTTATCAAATATTTGTATGGTAAAAAAAAAAATAAGAATATCACAGCATAAATTATAATTAATCAGGTACATTAGGTTTAGGTACTCTATCAATAAGAATAGTTTTCTGTTTATACATATTTATTTTAATTCCCTATACTTTAAACTAATTTTTTATTTTCTGGTTTTAGTAAATATTTATGGAAATTCAAACATGTCAATGATTTAAAATTAAACTTCAATGTTTCTATCTCTTTAACAGATTCTATAAAAAGTCTGTTTCATTATTTACTCCAATGAGAAAATATTAAAGAAAATATTATTTTAGTATTATGACCAGGTGTACAAAAAATATTGTGAAATTTTGAGTATTTTTGAATAACTAGTAATGTTATTATTTGATTTAAAAATAAATACATAATTTAGTTGAAGAATTTTGCGAAAAGTACATGTTAGGTTGTTTTTTTAAGTTTATAAATTGATAGAATAGTAAAGTATAATTTATATCTATATTTTTATTTTTTAAGAAGTTTCTTCAAGACTTTCATATTTTATATTAATGTTTTCCTCGAAATTCATCCACTTGAACACCTGTTGACATAATATAATATAACATTTTGAAAACGTTTTATTGGATTATTTAATAGGAAACTAAAATATTAACCTTGAAGTCAGATAATATATGAATCTACTTTTTAAGGTATTTCAAATTTGAGACATATACTCTTAAAACAATTTTCTAAAAATTTCTCACAGGCGGTATTTTGTCCAATATTTCTTTATGTGGTTAATAATTCTTTAACTTTGAGTGGCATAAATTTAGTATCATATCTTTCTTGATGAATACTTATAATTGTTTCAAGAATACAAGTTACTTCTAGTATTGAATTTTTTTCAGCCTCTATCAATTTCATTTTTTTTTTTTTTTTGAAAAATGTACATTAATGAATGAACAAACTACAAATATATTTCACTAAAATCATTTTCAAAAAAGTTCTTAATAGTTTTTGGAGGTTGTTTTTCTTATAGAAAAAAAGATGTAGGATACATTTGTATAATGGGATTAATTTCAGGAAATATACTTAATCACCTAGTTTTACTATGATAAAATTAATTTCGGTAAAAATATTAACAAAATCACAGAACTCCTTTAATTTTTAAGTTATCTCTGTGTAAATTGAAAAATAATTGAATATTTTTAAAACGATAGAATCACGATAAGGGATCACGTTTATTGGTCTAATGTGCATTCCATCTATAGAATTCAGTGAGTTACCTTCTGCAAAAAAATCTGATTATTCTACTTCAAATATTTTCTACTCGCGTTGTCTAACGTAAAACCTGCTGATCAAACTATCTACACACCTAATAAAAAAATAACCTACGATTACGAAAATAATATCCAATTATCTACATTATGTAGTTAATAAAGCCATAATTGATTTATAATATTTTTAATTCAATATTTAATTATTTACTATCGTTGAATTTGTTTTTTTTAAATGTACATAGCAACACCAACTTACGAGAACTATTTACAAACTAAATTTAATATGTAAGCATAACATTTAAAATAATATTTTTCGGCTTAAATATATTTTTTTACAAATATGGACAGAGAAAAGTTTCAGAATTCAAAACCTCTTCCAAACCCAAGACCTATGTACCAAGACATTTTATTAGAAGACTGTTCTCTACCGGTTACAGCACCAACTATTCAGAAGAAAGAACTACCTCCAGTGGTCGAGGAAAAAAAACCATCTACAGTTGCTGAAGATAAAAAACCGCCTCCAGTGTTTGAGGAAAAAAAATCACCTCTAGTTGTTGAAAATAAAAAGCCACCTCCGGTGCCCGAGAAAAAAAAATCACTTCCAGCTTTTGAAGAAAAAAAGCCACCTCCGGTAGTTGAGGAAAAAAAATCACCACCAGTTGTTGAAGATAAAAAGCCGCTTCCGGTGTTCGAGGAACAAAAACCAACTCCAGTTAATGAAAATAAAAAACTGCCTCCTGTGGCCGAGCAAAAAAATCCACCTCCAGTTGTTGAAGAAAAAAAGACACCTCCGGTGGTCGAGGCAAAAAAACCGAATCAAGTGATCAAGACGTCACCAAAACTTGAAGTAAACGCTCCTTCGAACCAGGAACCTCGTTGTGAAATCGGTTGTATAAAGTTACTAGGACTACCAGTTTACAAAAGAAATAGTTTATGGACAACACCTATGCCCGCGCACGCTTTCAAAGAATAAGTCAAATTTTTAACGAAATTACAGTTATAAACGAAAATAATAATGGAATTATTAACTTTACTAATTTCGACCAGCTGTTTGTAAATCCGTAAGGATAAATTAAGGGACCTTTATGTATAATGAGTTTCAAAGTATCAGTAGTAAATACTTTAGTTGTTTCATGGAATTATAGTCGACAATAGAGATGTTCCGGGTAGATTTTTTATTAACAAACTGGGTACTGAATATGAGCCGAGTAATATTGTCTGTTAAAACCGGGTCCAGGATACTAATCGAGTAATAATGTATGTTAAAACCGAGTTTCGAGTAGTGGTTAAGTGATAATTTTTGTTAAAACTGAGTCTTGGGTACTGATCGAGTAATAATTTAGCCGAGTTATGAATAACAATGTTTGTTAAAAGTTATAACCTAGTCAAAACATGATGGAAATTATCTGTTTGTAGGTGTGGTTTTTTAGCAAGTTTTATATAATATAGCATAAATTAAAAATGCTTATAACTCACATAAAAACTGAATTATTATATTACTAATCCCACTCTTATCTCGCAAACAATCATTACTCTAGATGTATCAAAAACAATAGTTAATTAATGCAAACCCTTTTTATTTTTCCATATCGTAAAC